CTGTTATTTCTGCAAAAAGTCCTATTCGAAGTTATCGTGGAGACGGGAATACTTAAGCAAGTACTTATAAGAAATTACTTAGCCTATATTGCGGTTCTACATTGTTTTGTTGAAAATAACGAACAACAGAAAAAATAATGTCAGATGATTAGGGAAGAGAAAAAAAGAGAATAACTTTAAAGAACTCTATATTTAAAACAACTTCCTCAACTTACTTAAATTATAAATTGTTGATAACTTCAAAATTTGATCAAGAAACTTATTAGTTTTGGCAAAACTATCAGAATCAACATTTCATAACTATAAGGAGGCAAATTTTTATAAATATAGAAATTTATAAACTCCAATAGTGTAAGCCACTTGCCAATTTTAATGTAATTTCAATGCAAATGTGATTTCAGATCAATTCTATTACTTTTCTTAAAGGCTATCATATAAATTTTTCATTCAAGCTGCAAAACTACAGTTTTCAATTGTTTTTTTCCAGGCCGTTGAAATTCCTTCATTAAAGTTAGTCAAGAAAGTCAAGTCAATCCAGATCTATCGCCGCAATGTGGAGCGAGGCACAGCTGGTGATCGCTTGGCTGTCTGTGTGACACAATTCGACCCGAAACTGCTGGAGCGAGGTATCGTCTGCACCCCAGGCTACTTGACTACCGTGCATTGTGTCGTCTCAACCATACACAAAGTTAGGTACTTCAGAGGACCAATAGCATCCAAGGCTAAGTTTCACATAAGCATCGGTCATGACACTGTCATCGGTAAAGTTACTTTATTCTGCAGAACTGATCTACAAATTGAAACCTCGTTTGATAAAGAGGAAGAGTATTTGTATCGGGAATCGTTGCAAGACATCAAGGAAAAAAGTGATGAAGTAGTTGGCACGCAATTTGCTCTGATCGAATTTGAAAAGCCCATTTTGGTTGTGCCGAATTCCCTGTATATTAGTTCAAAACTAGACATGGATGTGCATACTAACAGTTGTCGGATTGCATTTTACGGGAAAATCTTAGAAGTGTTTAGTGACAAAAACTACATCCAGACTGTTTTACCAGGATTTAAAATTTATAAGAACAAGAGCAAAACAGGGTTAGTCGATAGGATCGTGAATGATTATGAAGTGGTTTGTAAGAATATGTTTAAGAAGGAGACAAGAATAGATTTGTTTAGTGGATTAAAAGTTAGTCTCTCATCAGGAGAATCGGGGGTGATTGAAGGTGGTTTTGGTCAAAGTGGGAAAGTTAGAGTGAGAATTCCAGAGGGAATCAAATCAGAAACGGTGAGTAAAATGGGAACAAAAAAAGGCAAACGAGGTAAACAAGAGACTGAAGAAGCTGTTAGTAAAGAAGATTTTACAGTCGAATTGAGGTTCAAGAGTTATCTTTTCAGGACAGATAAGAAAATTGTTCAAAACACAACAGAGTAGTTTTTTGTACTACAGGGTGCGGCAAAAAAAACGATCTATTTTCTGCAGCGCGCTGTTCAGCGACAGGTCATCTGAGAGTGGTAGAGGTAGGCTCGTTGGAAAGCCTACACAATAAAATTTATAAGCAGTCATAGAGCAGTGGTCGGCTGAGCTACGTGCGTTTGTTATTGAGTCGTATTTAAAAAGTAGTGAATTCATTTATTGCAACTCAGTGGCAGTTCCGTGTGTTCTTTAAACTAAAGCGACATGGAGAAGTTCCGTTGCTTAGCACAATCATGCGGTAGGTTACTAACACCAGAACAATGGTTTCTGCGTTCAAAAGGAAGATGACAGGCCGTCCAAAGTCAGATCAGACACCAGACAACTAACATTTGATAGAGTTAGTGCTGCCGTGGAAAACGGTTCTCGTAGGCCCGCCCGAAAACAAGCGGCTTGTTTGAACATTTCTGACCACAAAATTTAACAAATTTTGATGTTAAATTGCATCCCTAAATATTAATTAGAATAATGATATGTTTAATTTTGTTAATTATCCATACAGATAATCACGACGGAACCTCTCCATGTCGACCTAATTGAATGAATGCACACAACTTCCGCTGAGTTGTAATGACCGAATCATTACTTTTTAAAAACGACTCGATAAAAACTGCACATAGCTCAGGCAACCACTGCAGAGACTACAAAAATAATTTGTTTAGGCTTTCCAACGAGCCTACTGCCACCACCCTCAGACGCCCTGTCGCTGAACAGTGCGCTGCAGAAAATAGATTGGTTTTTTTGCCGGCTGTATAAAATGTTATTTAATCTTATAAGACTTGGTTGTAGCAAAGCATTTGTTTACTGTTGTCACAATTGTTTGTGAATAATAAACATATTTTTTTACATTCTTTTATCCATATTTTGTTAGCAATCCCTAATTTTTTTTGTCCTAGAACGCTAGGCTCGAGCTTAGGACTGTTTTTCACATTACTCCAGGTTAGACCTAGGGGTTGTGGCATTATCACTTACATAAAATCCATTAGTGATTTGGTGCGATTTGAATCTGGAACCTCCTGGACCGAAGTCCAACACTCTAACCACTAGACCAGCTTGCTGCCCTATAGCGATCCCTAATAACACTAAATATTTGGATTTTGTTTCACATTTTAGTGAATTTCCCTATAGTTAAGTACCTAGTACCTTAGGTGGCCTGGTAAGACCTGGAGCCGGAACCGATATACTTTTTCATTTTGATGTCCCTGGAGGCCAAAAACACTATTCGTTCAAATTTTTATACTTGTGTATGCTCAGGGTGGTTGCCCATGACCAGATTGAATAATGGTTCAGGCAGGTGCTGCAAAGATAGTAGCTGCACTTTACCACCATGGCAGCACATGCCCGCTAGACAGGGATTTTGTAAATATTAGTCTTTTCACAGGATTACATTCATCACCAAACTTGACATATAATTCACCATTCTGATAAACCTCCAATACAAATGTGAATAGTTGTGAAGCTGCAACCAGCTCACACAACCCATGAAAGGTAAACGGCTTAGACATTTCATAGAAGTATTCCCTGGGAATTAAGGTAATTATTCCCGTCACTGTTGTGGGATAAGATTGAGTAAATATAGCTAATAGACTAATAAAGCAAATGTATTTAAATCATGTTTTTTTTTATTTGAGAACATACATTTTTGCTACTATATTTACGAGAGAGACATATTTAATGTAGCCTATTTTAAATGTTTTAGAAATAGAATTCTGATTTAGACCTCAAAATAGTCTTTGGGCATTTTGTTTCTCCACCCTTGGAACAAGATATGCGTACCAGTTGCCACTAAACTCATTTCCGCAGGTGCTCTGTAATGTATGTACTACTCTTCATGTACTATAGTTATATTTTTTAGAATTTATTGACTTAGTTGGTTATAATTGATAACAATAATCAAGATTTAATTAAGTTTAATTCATTACATTTTATATATCATCATCGATTTATAAACTAACATGTACTTTATATTAGCCCTGATATTAACTAATACATTTTTTATATATAGATTTATTGCACATAAAAACATAATAATAGTTTACATTCATAAAACCTTGTGATAATTTATCTGCCGGCTATACAATGTATAAATAATAGATTCAGTCTACTTGGCCTTCTACTGATATACAAATTTAATCCTGTATAGTTTTCTACAGCAAATATCCATACAACCAGGACACATTCGACCCTGTTATACATTTATCATCAATTTATCATTACAACCTCAATACAATACAAGAACATAGATATCTTCAGCTCAAATAAAAATCAACACTTAACTTTGGCATACATATGGATAAAACAGAATGAAAATAGTCATAAGTTTTGAACAGTCTTGGACTCTGGAATGTGGAGCTGTATTTCAGGATACAAAATAAATGTTAGAAAAATATTAACATTTTTACAATAAAATACAATTTATTTAGACTCATGATTTATAAGAAACTCATTCAACAAAATATTTATTTCAATACTTAAGTAACAGTAAAAAAAAACGTTTCCCCACTCATGAGTGTATTCCTTGGATTCAGTTTAAAAACTACACTAACCTTGCAAAATAGAAAATTAGATAAAAATGCAACAAAATAACCAGGTATCTCTTATATATTTTAACTCTCGATTAAACCTACCAAGAATCGTAGTACAATTTCTAACCAACTTTTAAATTAGGCTAATTATAATCATAAAATCGTAATCATTTGAAACTACAAACTCAAATATAAAATGGTACGTTCACAACACACTAAGATGAATATGAGCCACAACATAATAGTGTAAACCAAAATTACTATACAAGCGCTACTGTCATGAGTTATTATTTTAATTTTATTGAGACAAAAAGAACAAAAGTTCAAACCCAATATAACTTACTTAAAAAACACATTTTGTTTGATTTGTAGAAAAATATAAATTAACTTAAACCTAGTAAAATAGTGTTTGCTTGGAGGTAAAAACTAAAAACCACTGTACTGTTGTAGGAGAAGTTTTGCACAAAGATAAAGGTGAGTCATTGACGTTAATATTTAAACTTTAAAAAGGCTTTGTTAAGATTTGTCAGTTACCATTTTCAGGGCCAGGTCATGATAAGATAATTGAAACAGGTTAAAAAATATATTTTGTAAAACTAAGTGGTTATATTTAACTTTTTTGTGTGTTTTTACGCCGTTGATATTTTTTGATAGGGTGTAGACCCTGATCTTGTTAGGCCCCATCTAACATCAGCCTTTTGTTAGATAGCACCATTAATGGACAACACAATGACAAATGGAATCTGGGTCCAGAATCAATATCACTTAGAATTGAACCAGCAGCCTTCAGATTTGAAGGCAAGCATTACTCTCGGCGACCCAGACAATAGTGCCTTATCATACGGTGATGAGGAACGTTACAAAATCATAGAATCTAGATTTAAAACATTGACACTTGACGGCTTAAAAGTGAAAGGTTTAAAAATTCTCAACACAACCAAAGACATAAAATTTTAGTTTTTTTAGGTTTACAGTAGCGCTTAAAAAATTTAAAATTCAACAACACTGGAAACATTACAAAAACACTAATATATGTTTATAATTTGTATACCTCTTCTTACATTAAATCACCAACAATGTCTTCTGCCGTCACCAGGCAAGTCATCGCAAATCTTACACAAGTAACAATATATTTACAGATCACCTGAGTGATAATGACTTTTTACAAATCTACAAGAAAAAAACGACTAGAAAGCTCAAAACTAAATTTGGGAGTGGAATTAAGATTGGTCTAAAAACAAATTTCATGCACCAAAACCGAAACTAGGTTAAGTTGAGATCACATGACAGTCAGTAAGTAGTCTTGAGGCGGAAGAGTAGTGGCTACTCAGAGAATGATGAGTAGCATGACTACGACCAGCAGTATACAGGACAGCACAGCGATGGCAATCCACTGTCGCCTGTCTGCAAATACAAATATTGGTTATACTGACCTGTCAATTCTGAGGTAAAATCTGCTAATAATCCAAGAATAAGAATACTAAATCTCACTCCTAATGTCCTGAAGTGAACAAGAAGCAAAATATGTTTTAATCTGCTGAAGGGTGGTTTACAATAATAGTTTGGCCATTAATCCTTTCCGAAGGGGCAGGTCATAAAATAATTCAAACAATAATTTCAAATAATTTAATTTGTAATAAATAGGCCATAACCCTAGTGTGAGGTTACTCAAATGTAGGACTAGAATTATCAGTGGCGTAGATACGGGGGGGGGGGGGGATCAGGGGGATATATCCCCCCCTTCAACCTATAATGGGTAAAAAAATTTTAATAACATTTAAAAAATAATGTTTTAACGTATGCAATGAAATAGTGAATCTTTTTAATTTTACTTCTATATTGTATTAAGCTTGTTTTTCGTAAGTATACTTTCAATATCAATAAACCGTAAATAAACTGCAATGCCAGTGAAAGTAGTATGGCGTTTGCGCCGAAACAGAGTACAGACACAAGTCACGGAAGGTCAACAGCCTATCCGCCCCTCCCCCTTCCGCCACCACTTCACCTTTTACACCTACCTGAAATTAATCGTTTTAACGTGAGCAACAAAATAGTTAATCAAATGCCATGCCAATTGTACTAAGCTTGTTTGTTTGTATGTATACTTTCATTATCGATGAATAAATGGAAACAGATAAACTACATGCCGGTAGCAGTGGTGGGGTGGGATATTTGCGCGCCAAACAGACGTGAGTCACCGGACGTTCCGCGTTCAACCGCCCATCGACGACACCCTCCTCCTCTACCCCGTCACCCACACTACGCTTGATCTGTCGTCTGGTGTTAATTATTGTGCCAGTGTGTTTTTATGATTTTCGTATTCCTTGGTGTCTCATGAGTGTTCTGAGTGTCTGTAAAGTAAACTGATCGGGTTTTTCGCCCCGAAAAGAAATATTTGAAGGCGTTAGCTGGTGTGGCAATGGAACAACGAAGTTAAGTGATTTTATTACTCGCCTTTGAAATAATTTTTTTTTAATAGGCCAAGTCACGTTATAGTATATTACGTTACTAGTCCTGAAAATAAGTGTTTACCGGACGAGTGTGGTCGTTCCCGTGCGAGACGAGGTCGAGTACGGGATTACCATACGAGTCCGGTACACACATTTTGGACGAGTTACATACAATAGTTTACGCCATACTACTAAATCTTTACAAATCTTTATATATGACCACCAACTAAAGGACTAAAAATCACTAGTCGTAATCTCTAAGAGAGGTTATTTTTTTGTTTATAAACACTCATTGCCACACAAATACAGTATAATCAGCTGATTGGTCACCGGTAAAACTCATTACAGTACAGTAGTTAGTACGCAATGAAACCCCATTTGATTAAGCTGGCGGCAAACAGCTGTTTTCTGGACTAAATCCTTGCGTGGGAAGTTCGTCAAAATAGTGTTGTGTGGCGTAAACATATTAATCAAAATATTCAGTGTTAAAGGATAGAGAAACATAACGTTAAATGTTATCATATAACGAAAAGCCTAGCCTAAGTACTTTAAAAATAAATGTAATAAAAAACTAGTCCACCTGCAATTAAAGCAAAAAGTTGCAACAAAATTGCATAAAATTCTATTAAGTATTAACACCAGATTTCACTTCCTAAACGCTTAAAAATGGTGTTTAGGGAAGCTATTTTTCTCAAATTTTTTTATTTTTCCCCGGACCCCCCTTCCTTGCTGGGGGGTATTCCAGACCCCCCGGTATCCCCCCCCCCCCCATGACAAGAGGCTATCTACGCCACTGAGAATTATTGACTTTTGGATACAGAAGAAGACATCCCATCAACACGGACTAGCTGTCTCCAACTTATTATTAAAAAGAACATACAGTAGAACTCCAATCATCCGAATCAATTACACTGTTACACATTCGGGTATTTGGATTTTACCAAAATTCAGAGAATTTTACAGAAAATATTCCAGTCAAGCTGAGCAGAACACGTCTATGAAAATGTTGCGATAGAAAAATTCATGCTTTAGCCGCGATGATTGTAGAGGACAATGATTTTCCAGGATCCCAAAATTTAGTTTGGGACACTACCTCACAGAACTATGTTCTTTTTTAGTAAAAAAGTAGTAAGTCAATGGTACCGGCAAATATAAAATAAGCTTGAATACAAGAAAAATACTAGACACTTACCATTAGACATGTGCAAAACCTTAGCCACCTTCTTCATTGTTGAGTCTAATTTTGACTCTGTGTTTTCCATTTCTGTGCCAAAGTCGTCCAGCATTCTAAAATAATATGTGTATTAAAAATTCTGCAGAAATGACCATGCGTGTAAAAGTAAGATCTAGACACATAAGTGCAGTAGCATCTTAAGACAACAACAGTATATTATTAACTGATATAACTATTTCAATTAAGATTAAGATAGGAACAAACATAAACTTGCTAGCTTTTGCAGATGACATAGTATTAATTACACATAATATAGAAGAAATGAAAGATGTAACAAAAATGCTTATTGAACATACAAGAAAAATGGGGCTATACATAAATGAAGAGAAAACCAAGTTTATGACATGTGGAAGAAAACAAGATGATGACCAACCAAGATACCAAAATAACAACTACATAGAAATTGAAAAGTATAAATTTAAAAAAGTAACAAATTTCAAGTATTTGGGAGTCATCCTCACCAGTGATAATGATGAAGAGCTAGAAATTCAAAATAGATTAAACCTAGCACAAAAAAGTTTTTCGGCCTGTCACAAGTTACTAACTTCAAAAATAATATCCCACACCACCAAACTCAGGATTTATAAGACAATCATCAGACCAGTTCTCCTGTATGGTTCAGAAAATTGGATCTTAAGCAAGAAATCAGAAAGGAAAGCTATTGTATTTGAGAACAAGATTTTGAGGAAAGTGTACGGACCGATTTTTGAGGATGGACAATGGAGATCGAGACATAATTGGGAACTTAGAGAATTATTTAAGGATCCGGATATTGTCGCTGAGGTACGGAGCAGAAGACTGAGATGGGCAAGGCATATTCTAAGAAAAGATGACAACTCCCTATCAAAGAACATCTTGAGGAATAACCCAGAAGGTAGAAGACCCCTTGGAAGACCGAAACTTAGATGGTTCGACCAAGTGGAGAAAGACCTGAGGAAGCTAGGGAGAAGGAAGGAAGATGCAAGAAGCAGAGACCTATGGAGGCAGTGTGTTGGGGAGGCCAAGTACCATCTAGGGTACCAGTGGCCACAGCAGTAAGTAAGTAAGTAACTATTTCAATATTAACGTTTTATTAGAATAAGTTCAACAAATTATCAATTGATTTAATCATGCATAATTATAATATATAAATGGCGTTTTCTCCTATCTTATAAAATAAGTTTTACCGGTACCACAGCGTATTCCTCATTAGCTGTGTGACAGACCTGTCTAAAAAAGGACTCTGACCCCGGTTCATCCGTTCTGTCGCCTGACTAGAGATAATGTCTAAGGACCCTCGTCTATCAAACCGACCTAGCGGTCTAAGATTGATTAGTTATAAGATTTATGTGGATTTATTGTATCTTGACACTATTATTTGCTTTTTTAAGTACTTAGGGGTCAATCCATAATACATAAGGAGTCAATCAATCCTTAAAGACATTGACCCAAAGTCACATATTTTACATTGAATGTGAATGCACAGTGAGTGTAAAATAAAGTATCATGACCTGATAAAGGCAGCTAGGGCCAGTTTCGAACCATTAAAAACCTACTGACTATCCTCAAGGATCAAACCAGCAATATTTTGATTGTGAGGTGAGCACTATAAGAACTCGGCTACAATCAGGGTGTGACTGGACAAATAGACACTTACACAGCCTGCTCGTCCAGTTCCGAGCCTATCTGGCGACTGACAGTCTTGAGTGAGCCGATGGTGTGACTGATGCGCTCCATGGTGTCGTCTTGTCCGTTGATCAGCTGATTCTGCTGAGCCAGCGTAGAGTCGAGAAAGTGCCGCTGTGGACTGTCAGCCTCATTCTCCAGCTTGGAGTACTTGGTGGTGCCGTGTGATGTCGCCACCCTCACAGGGCTGTTCTCTAACAGCGGCTGAAAATCGATAGAAATTTTTGTTATTTATTTCAAGCAGTAACAGCAAACAAATAAAACTCATGTTTTTAAAATGGTTTTTACAACCTTACTTGCATATTTTAGGTGACATTGATATCCTTCAGGTAAGACCCAAAAGTTTAAGAAATTTCTATTCCTATTTATTTATGCCATGAAGGCAAGGGGTGCAACAGCTATAACTTAACTTCCCTTTTGATTTGCTACTTCATACTTGTAGGTCCCCCACTAGAAGCGCTTCTGCACCGTGGTCGTCAATGGTGATAGGCCAATCTTCATGGGTTTAGATACTCATCAACAGAGTATACCGGCCTATTCAGTAAGTTTGTTCTTGAAGCTGGAGATACAGTATTATTAATGCTACTGATTTTGGGTGGAATTTTATTAAAGATTTTTCCTAATGTTAATCTTGGTCCACTCTGAGCCAGGCTGGAATTTACTTGCTAATAACTAACAGTTGTTTTGCTGATTACATCTACAATTTAGTATATACATATTTAGTATATGAATAATAATAGGTACAAAATTACAAGTTATACATAATCTTAATGAATTTATGATTACTTGAAAATAATAACAGTTACAGAAGTTTCTGTGGTGTTTTACCTGGCGAGCAGTCCTATCACGGTCTCGTCCTCGTGTGAAATTCATCTTTTCCTTCATGCACTGAAATAAATAATTAATTAGTTTATGAGATTTTACACATTATACCATTTATACTTTCTCCCACTCCCCCAATACTGTAATCCAGCTACTATAGGTTGGCTGCTTAGAAAGCGTCCTCCTCGTCGCAGCATTGGTGCGAGAGAGAGACACCGAGCAGTGGGAGTGCGACAGACTATGGCTCTTCCCCCACTCAGCTGCCACCCCACCCCCAACCTTTTATAAATATTAACAGCAATTAAATTATACAGCTGATCAAAATTTAAACAATTACGTTCTTCATAACTTGAGAAAAATAGGTCCTGCAAAAAATATTATATAGCCTAAATCGCATCAATATTGAGCATCATGAAATGTTATTATATCATTAAGTGCAGTTCCATTTGGTAACACAGGATTCCAACTCCCACGACACTGGGGCGGCGCCGTGTCGGTGTCGTGTCGTGCAGTGTGAAAATGGCCATTGGCGGAGAGGAGGAACATACCCTCCCTCGCCGTTACCCCCCCTACATGCGCTAAACATTTCGCGCGGGTTGTTTTCTAAGAGGCCGACTTATAGGAGGTCACAAATTGTGGATATTTATAGGCATGCACTGTGGATATGATACTCCCTGGTGTTGAATTACGTCCGCACTAGCGAGTACTACGGCTATCCGCAGTACTATCCCGATAATTAGACCAATTCGTTAATATTTTTCAATCGGATTTTCACAAAACTGGCTCAAACAATTATGTTTGAAATTGGTTATGTTATGGTAATTTTAACTCTAATGAAAATGGTAAAATGGTACAACTCCCAATGCTGTAAAAGTTATGGTAAAAAGTAATTAGTTTTTTATAAGCTAATGGGAGTAAGTATGAGATAAATTATTCTATTATTAAATTATTAATTCAGCAAAAGAACATTTCAAAAATCTAAATATTTTAACTGTTTACGAGCAATATATTATTGAAACTACTCTCATTGCAAAGAATTGTACAACTATCAATTTTAAGTCCCCAGCTCATTTGTATAATACTAGAAAGAAAGAGAAATGAGGTTATCCTGCCACATAGATTAAAGTTTTTTGAAAAGAAACCAACCTACATGGGATATACTTTTCTTAAATATATTCCAGAAAACAGAAGAAGAGAAAAAAATTTAAATAAGTTCAGGAAATTACTGAAAGAATATTTAATACAACTGTCCCCTTACTCCATAAAAGAATTTTCCACCTCCCAGATATAACCTACTGTAGATATAAATATTTTTGTTATTACTTTTCATTTTTGCTTGGTAAATTGTAAATAGTAGATTTTAATTAGATTTAGTATTGTATTATATATGACGCTATTTACTGTACAAACTATTTACGAAAAAATGAATAAAGAACTATGACTATGACTAGACCAAAATTTTATGCACATGTTCATTCCAATTCAGATTTTGATCTACTTAATTTTACATAAATTAACTAAGTTTTGTCTGATGTATCCAAAAACAAAAGACCTCTTTCTCTTACCAAAGGTTACTTGCTATAAATCTATATGACAATAAAATGTACAAATAACATACCCGAACTTCCTCTCGAGTTTGTTCAATGAAGTTCTTACGGCTGGTAAGTTCCTTGTTGTCAATCTTGAACTTGGTCGGATTCTTCTCAACTATTCGTAGATTTCAAAGTCAAGGAGACTTAAAGTAATAGTTCAATGATTATTAACATACTCAAAATACAAACAGAGAACATCATTTTTTTATTCAAATGCAAATCAAATAGGGTGAAAGACATAAAATTTTTGTAAATCATTAGTTTTAAGGCAGATACTTAGGTTTGTTCGTTACTGTTGTGCTATTATGCCAAAGGGTGCCAAAATCATATAATCTTTATTCAATCTAAATTCAACTAGGCCTACCTGTATTACATGTTTTAAGTGCTAAAAAGGTCATAAATTAAGTATAACAATCAGGGCTGGTTCTAAACATTTTTCTAGTGTAAACGAACAACATTCCAGCGCACCTCCCCCTAAAAAAAACTTATATATGGTAGTATGTGAGGATTATCTCTGGATAGGTACATTAGAAAAATACAAGTAAATATAATATAAATGCTTAAGAACGTCCTAAACGTTCGAATGTCTGCCGAAAGGGTCCAAGTAGACATTTCATTTCATAGACAAAAGGTGGGGTGCCCGACAGTCAAGTATAATGTCATTATTTGTGATTATTGTTATTTGGGAATAACAGTAAATCAAGTAGTGACAGTATGCGCAAGGGCCCCACCTTACGATGTACGATTTACCCTAACTCCTTATACTTCTACAATATCTTGATGTAGACCTCTTTCAATTCCAACCCATAGCTTCAGATGCATAACACTTTAAGAGGCCGAACCTTATGGGCCTACAGTGAACACAAGTCCAATATAGTTCAGAGATTAAAATAGGAGCGCCACCGTGAGGTTAGCAAACATTGCTGCGCCCCCTTTTGATGCGGCGCCCTACGCAACTGTGTACTTGGCTTACTCATTAAACTGGCCCTGATAAAAATAATCAAATAAAGTAGGCCTACATTCTGTACTTATGCTATTCAATATAACTGCAGAATTGGAGTGGACCAGAAAGATACGAGACTCCTGTTACAATAGGAATCAAACTGCAGTATTCTTCAGCTGTCAACTGAGGACAAATATATCACAGAGTCTCATTACCGAGTGTGTTGGAATATCAAGCGATGTATTACCAGAATATTGAGAGACAACTGTAATGCAGAGTTTAAACAGAGCATTGGGTATTTTTGAGTTTGAGATTGATGACATCAAACAGCATTAAATATTTTTGTGATTAATTTTTAAGACATAATGGAGGACAGGGAAATCAATGGAGTTAGAGGCCATTTAAATGTTCTGTAAAGCTCATCTAAGTTTTATGAAGAGTAAATAATATTTGAGGTATTTAGAGTATGTGGTTCTTTAGGCTGTGCATTGACGCAATAAAGTTATAGTGTACATTTTAAATGAAAAGATATCTCTAAAAAGGTTGAATGTTATAAATCTTTACTGGTGTTATCATATATGTATTGTCTTTACTTTGCAAGTTTTATGGACTATTACAATAACCATGGATAGATAAGAGTAATTCCATGATAAGGATAACTACTGTACTTCAGAGTGTTGTGTTATCTAATCTAGACAGTATAGTTACAAGTTTTGAAAAAAAAAACTATAATTACGTTTAAGATATTGACAATATAGCAGTTCTGGCTGTAGCCTACATTTAAAGAAACAAAATATCTAAACTTAAATCTAAGAATCATTAAATTGTTTTAAAGGATCAATCTATTTATATAAAGCCAAAAGTACCCATGAACTTTTGAGAAAACTACTAGTCACACCCCCATAAACCATATACTTAAAATGTTCGTCATGATGAGAAACCTTGCGCAAAATTATCCATTATTTTATAAATCGCCCCTTTAAGGTCGTAATTGTTTTCCAAAGGGAACTTTCCTTATACATAATGTTAAAAAAACCTCAGCTGTCCTTATTTGTATGTTATTCTTTCAATTTATTTCCTTATTAATATCAGGTGTAGGCCTAATTATTTGTTTGTATTTCTGTAGGCTATTCTGTTTTGTTTATTTCAGCTTAACTTAACCAATCAATAATTTTATTAATACTTATGAATTAAAACGGGGTGAAGCCCGTGGGTAACAGCTAGTTTATTTAAAACTAGTTGCTGTACCCGTGCTTCACAATAGGAAGATGTACTATACCGCCTCATCCAAACACTTGTTAAGTAATTTGAATTTATAAACAAAAAGCCACTAAATTTTTACAAAAAGTATAACCTACATTTAAATTGTCCTACTGTTTCATGAAAACATATCAATAAAATTATTTTAATAACTTAAACATTTCAATAAATCGAAAGCAGAGCCTGGGTTGATACAGCGACGGTTATAAAATCTTTTTTTCCCATAATCAATGACACAGTTTTAGAATAAATAAACCTGCCACATAGTTGTGTAAAATATTATGTTTAATTTCTTTAGATCAGTTGTCTGAAATAATTTGTGAAATAAGCAATTTGGCAGTTCTGTTTGTTTACATTGAAATGTCAATGCAAAGGTAAACATTATGAATTTTCTCATGCTTCCATGGAGATCAATATTAATATTTACTTTTGAAAACCTCACTTCAAAACTTTTGACATCCGAGGGGTGTAGCCCAAGGAGAACTCTGGGATGTGAATAGGCCTATGACATTCCTAGATATATGGACCCTCTTTGCACTTAATTTTGGCTTTATCGGTTTAGTATTTTAGCCGGGACAGCTGCCCAGACAGGCAGATAGACACCACCTCAGTTTTATAATACCTAGTATAGATAGATAGATAGACAAGTGTAAGAAACAATACAGGTTATAACAGTTAATAAATGAAAAGTTAACTTTTTACAAATTTGTCATCCTAGCAGAGTTTAAAAAATAAAATTTAAAAAACTCTTCTTATTTTCATTAATTAAAAACATACACGATTAGGTTAAGGAGTTTTCAATTAAAGAGTATTTTATGATGAAATTAAAATTAACGACAACTTTAACATTAAACATTGTACAAATCAACATTAATTTGTTGAAACAAACAACACTTTTAAATGTCTATGATGAATCACAACACAAGAATCATTAATGCAAGTGATAAGAGAGTCATTATAATGATGACAAACAAGCTGTACTAACAACCTAACTGATCCTCAGTTTACAAACACTTTGTCAAGCAAGGCACTTAGGATATTGTAAATAATGTGGGATCAACCCTATGAACTCCATGAATTATCGAGTGTTTTGGTTTATGTCTGGTATTTCTCGCATACACAAAAGTCCAAATTAATATTAAAAAATATCCGACGCAGTACGGTGATTTGCAGAAAGCGGAAAAATGCCTGGTTTGATGTGCAACAGAATACAAAATCACCTAGCCCATTAATTTCCACTAAAATCATCCACCATTTATTGTAGCATCACTCCCATCAAGCTCCCAAAAAATACAGATGGAATTCTCAAGCCGTGTTCTCCCTGGAGCTAGGAACACGGACAACTAATGTTCTTAACAAACCAAGAAACACTACTTTTGGAACAGAAAAATTTGGATGTTGGAAACAGTTTTTTTAGTGTTTACAACAAACATTTTGTTTCCCACCAGTAGACGGTAAAGATCAAAGGGTGTCCCAAACATAAGGAAACATTTGTTTTGAACAAATGTTTCTGTACTACTATGCTGTTTGCAACACTTCCCCGCTTTTGCAAACTGACACCTGTTCCTGAGGTATTCAATAATTTAGACAAAGAAAAACAAACAGCTGAAGTCAATGACAGCGAATTTTCTACCCTATAGGGATGGATAGATTTATTTTAGTCTTGAAACGCATCTACTGACTGTTATTTTTGCCGTCTAGTTCTTTTTTCTTTTACCTGTCAGATTTTACATATCCCATCAAACTCAAGCCAAATATTGCTTTTTATCACCTTTGCTGGTGTCAAATTTTATGCCAGCATTTCAGTTTCATTACCGAAAAAGAAAAATTTTTAAGTTTTTCACTCTGGTTATATTTAAGTATTATCTTAATAGTCAATGGCTTATCTTGTCATTGTATTAACGGTATACATATTATTTTCTCTTACATTTAAAATTTCATGAAGCCATGTCACAGTTAACTATTTATTGTCAAAACAGTGTATACCGTAAAAATAAATGAATACAACCGCTTTTGCCACAGGTAGAGAAAAATTAACCTATCGTAATGAAAAAGTTATAAAACAATACAGTAAAGGATATCAATGGTGTCCTCCAAGTCCTCTAGATCCCACTCGATACTTCGTAGAGCATTCCTCAGTTCTGTTGTGGTCCACTCTAGTTCCTCCTTGGTGATGTTGCTGACTATGTCCTCCTGCAGTTCCAACCAACGACGGTAGAGACCTCGTGTTTTATTCAAAGCTTTTGATACTTCCCTGCAAACATATGTTTTGGTTATGAAATAGTAACGCTTATTGCCAGTGAATATTTTTAGAGTTGAAATGAAGAAAATGTTGCTTATGAGATGTTTGTTTGATAAGGCATTAATAAGGCATTTATTCCGTCATTCAGCACATTACAAATTAGCAATAGACATCGTCACATTTTATTTACAAGACTTCTAACGGTCTAACAATAAGAAAATTTAAAATTTAAAAACACATCTGACATGTAGGCCTACATAGAAAAAACATTTACAATACCATGCATAATATTTGTATTTATTGTATACATATGTGTTGTAACTGTGTTGATTGAAGAGAAGAGGCTGACCATGAGTCTTTATTCACGAAAGTGTGTTTTTTTTTAAGGTATTATTGGTAGGCATATGCTTAAGCAATATTATTGAAATGTTAATAGCTTAATATAAAATAAACAAAATTGGCAAATTTGATTAAAATTTATCCATAAACAAGCAAACTACAACAGTTTAATTATTCTCCATAAGAATAACATGGGAATTTAAAATTTTTTATTATCTCCGTAACCGTTAGGCTAGGCATATAACAGCGCTTCAATATACAAAATTATTCCTTGTTTAAAGCTCTACAAAACAGACTGGAAAGAAATTGTTCCCGAACTTTAATGTTTTTAGAGTAAACATGGGAAAACCCAATTTTTACCCAATAAAACCCCAGTTCCCATAGTCTGATCATGCTGGTTCATGAACTCGTTAGAATAAACGTAGGTTTACATGTTTATACCCAATTTCATCAAAATCGGATAATTTTTCCTTGAGTTATCGCGCTAACGGACTCAATAACTTCATATATATATACAGTATATATGAATTTGAACGAAGGGCGTTTTTGGCCTCTGGGGACCTCAAAACGAAAAAGTAAATTGGCTCCGAGTCCAGGTCTTACCATGAGTTCTACAGTAATACTGGTAATAGCTTTCCCTATATGGAAAATTCGCTAAGAGTTAAGGTGAGTTTTTCATTGTCAAATTAATTACCAGTAGCTTAAGACCATGTTGTTCTTATGTGATCGTTGGTTAGGATGGAGTTGGGAATGATTTGTTTGAATTTAATTTACAGCTATTGAGAAACATCAATATTCTAAACTTTGGCGATAAGATAAGGAATTGAATTTGAATTAATTTCATTAAAAAATCATGTTTAATTAAACGCGACGAGTGATAGTCTGTTAGATGGTTTAAATAAAGTTGGTAGCATGTAGTACAAACAAAACAGTCATATATTTATGAGTCAACATGTTTCTTTAGAAAAGCACATGTGTAGGTTTCAAAGAATCACCTGCACAGCTGTTGTTAACACAGTGCGTTATATCACCACTAGTGGTTTTACGTTCACAACACAGTTCAAATTAAGTTATCCAACTTTGATACACTCCATTGTGAATCTCAAAATGACATAACTAGAAAACAAACCAAGAAAAGTAAAATAGCTCTTAATATTAAAATAATAAAGTTTGTATTCGTTTAATTAGGTACCCTAAAACAATATTTCTTACACATCAGTTAAACTTGCAACATGCCTTGTTGTGGCATTTGCTACATTATGAGTGGTTCTAATGGATTTCTGTAGTAAAGTAACAAATACGGTTTATCCAATCAATTGTTGACTTGTGTAGGTAAGTTAACTTACAATGTGATTAGTCAACTATCAAGTAAATACCGTCCACAGTAGGTATATATTGGCCAAACTTCAAACTCTTCTTAATATTTCAACTCATCAGTTAACTCTTTCATTTTAACAAATTTTCTTTATGGGCAAAGAATAAAGCTCTATTCTGAACCGTGGAGAAATAGTATATTTCATCACTAGTGTGCAAAGTGACTCTTTTCAACCAGAGCTAAAGTTTCACTTCAAAAATGGGCGAGGGTTGAAGAGACACTCTTTACTTGTGTGGTAACAATATTTTTTGTCATATTGCATTTCTATGCTTCTATAGCCTATTGTTCATTTCTTTGTATACCTGCATATTTTAGAAAAACTTTACCTTTTTTATGAATCTGTCTGTGGAGTGGATATTTAATCTATTTTGGTGGTATGTTCATTGTGTTTACCTACTGTAGTGTCATTCATATGCCTTTGCATTTAACATATGTTTTATAATTTAGTTTGTTGTTGTGGTGATGATGACTCTTGTTGAATAATAAACACATTCTTTACTTGCAGCATTTATTAGTATTTTATTATCTTACATGGTGTCAGGTTGTGAAATAAACATTTAAAATATGCCAAGACCTAACAAGAAATCTTCTAGAAAGTCAAAAAAGGAAGTGGACGAGTTTACAACTGAAGATTCTGGAGATGAGGCAGTTGGTCAACGACATAAAGTAAGTTTCAAATAGGCTCTGATAAATCTATGAAAATGATTAGTACCCAATCAAAGCCAGCACCAATAGTGATAGGTCTACAGGCACCACTAAGTGCTCCTGAAATATTTGATTTTACCAACCCAGCTATGTGGCCTGTATGGATTAAGCGGTTTGAACGTTACAGGCAGGCATCAGAGTTGTATCTAAAACCGGACCACCAGCAAATAAGCACCCTTTTATATACTTTAGGGCAGGAAGGTGAAGGTCTTTTTGAAACATTTGGACTAGGCGAAGAAAAAGAGTTAAGTTATGAGGATGTAGTAAATGCCTTTGCGAGGTACTTAGGCCTTAAAAGAAATTTGGTCTACGAAAGAGCTAAATTTCTAAAACGTAGGCAAAGTGCAGGTGAACCGGTGGATGCTTTTGTCAATGACTTGCACAAACTCGCGGAAAGTTGCGAGTTTGGACAGCTCAAGGACAGTTTGGTACGAGACTTAATTGTTATTGGTGTTCATAACCAAAACTTATCAGAGTCTCTACAATTAGACGAGTCATTGACCCTTCATAAGGCAATCACGGGAGTACGTCAAGCAGAAGCAATGTCTAAACAGCAAGCTGTAATTAGAGATAAACCATCCAGGGAAGATGTATTTGGGGTAAGTTCAAAACCTTTTGATAATAATAAACGTGTGGCTCAAACTACTAAAACATTTTCCTGTCGTCGCTGTGGAACAACTCATGGCCCTCGGGAATGTCCTGCTTTTGGAGAAAAGTGTTCCAAGTGCAAATTTCGTGGTCACTTTGCAAAATGTTGTCCAAACAAACCAAAGGAGGTAAAAGAGATTAAGGAAGTTGACTCAGACGATTCGATTGATTCAAAAAAAGGACATTTAGGTCAAGTAAACTTTAAGCAGGGTGAATGTCCGAGTGTAGTGGTAAAGGTAAATAGTCAACCAGTAGAGTTTAAGATGGACTCTGGGGCAGACGTTTCTGTTATGGGAAGTACACTTGCACTTGACCTCAAACTTGTAATCCGTCCAACCCATAAAGTTCTTTTTGGGCCGGGCCAGACTAAATTGACTGTTGTGGGTGTCTGTTCAGCTGAAATTATTTATGGCAATAAGCAAATATTAGAAGACATATATGTCTTGCCGTCCCAAAGTACACCTCTAATGAGTAGAAATGCATTGTTGAAACTGGAGTTACTTACGTTTAACGTTAATCTTGTAGATGGTGAATCACTCCAGAGTCAATATCCAAAAGTGTTTGAGGGCATGGGTAGAATGAATCATCCATACAAGATTAGGCTGCACGAAGATGCAAAACCTTATGCTGTTATGTCACCGAGGAGGGTGGCTTTCTCACTCCACAAACAGGTTAAATATGAATTGGACAGGATGCTTGCTGATGGTGTAATAGAACCAGTAACTGAACCTACTGACTGGTGTTCTCCCGTAGTAGTGGTTCCAAGGAGTGATGGTAGAATTAGACTCTGTGTTGATTACACAAAATTGAACCAACATGTGAAAAGAGAATTGTTGCAGCTTCCATCAGTGGATGAGTCTCTAGCTAAGTTGGAAGGAGGTAAGCTTTTCACTAAGTTGGATGCTGCCAATGGATTCTGGCAGGTTCCACTTCACAGTGATTCATTTAAACTCACCACGTTCATTACACCATTCGGGCGATATTTCTTCAAGAGACTTCCGTTTGGAATCTGTTCTGGACCGGAGGTTTTCCAATTCCGACTGAGTCAAATGCTTTCAGATATCCCAGGCGTAGTGAATCAAGCGGATGATATCTTGATAATGGGGAAGACAGAAGCAGAACATGACAGCAGAGTCAAACTGGTACTAAAGAGACTCTCAGAAAATGGTATCACGTTAAACAAAAACAAATGTAAGTTTGGAGTAGAAAGTGTGATTTTCCTCGGACACGTTGTCTCATCGCAGGGAGTCAGTATTGACCCAGAGAAGACTAAAGCTATTCTGGCCATGAAAAGCCCCCAGAGTATAACGGAGGTTCGACAGTTTTTGGGAATGATGAACCAATTAATGAAGTTCGTTCCTCATCTAGCTGAAAAAACAGCACCAATCAGAAGTCTCCTTAAAAAAGGAGTTGAATGGACTTGGGATGAGTCTCAAGAACAAGCTTTTAAGGAATTGAAGAAGGTTGTAGCTAATGATACTGTATTGACCAACTACAACAGAGAAGCGAAAACCCGTGTAATGGCAGATTCGTCATCTTATGGTTTAGGGGCAGTGATCGAGCAGTTTGATGAAAAGGATTGGCGTCCATTAGCATTTGCATCGAGGACATTAACAGAAACAGAGTCAAGATATGCTACCATTGAAAAAGAAGCTCTCGGCTTAACTTGGGCTTGCGAAAGATTTTCTAGCTTTATTCTTGGTAAAAGGTTCTAGCTTTACACAGATCATAAGCCTCTGACTGAGATAATGGGTTCAAAGCCGATCTCTGATCTTTCTTCTCGGCTGCAACGTTTTCGTATGAGATTGCAAAATTTCGACTACGAAGTTATTCACATCCCGGGGAAAGAAAATGTAACTGCAGATTTACTATCAAGAAGCCCTGAAATTTCACCAGTGGATCGGGAGAATGAGGTTATCGAGAATCTAGAGGAAGAAATGTTTGTAAGAAGCATAATTGATGCATTGCCTTGTTCTGATAAACGGCTGTTGGAAATTAAGAATGCCCAACATGAAGACCCGGAAGGACAGGAGCTCTTAAAATGCATCCAAGAGAATACATGGCGGAAAAATTCGGTATTCTGGAAGTATCGCAATGAACTCGCTTTGGAAGATGGATTAATTGTTAAGGGAAGGAGGATGTTCATTCCAAAGGCCTTGAGAAAAGAAATCTTATCAAGATTACATGAGGGACATTTGGGTATAGTGAAATGTCGGCGGCGTGCTCAAGAATCTGTTTGGTGGCCAGGCTGTTCAACAGAAATTAGTATTACAGTGGAAACTTGTCCAACATGTATAGAACACAGACTACAGCGAAAGGAGCCTCTGATATCTACACAGCTTCCTCAAGAGCCTTGGACCCATTTATGTGCAGATATTTTGAAATGTAACCAAAACTGGTATTTGGTAATACAAGATTATTTCTCACGATTTTTAGAGCTCATCGAACTCAATACTTTGACTTCAGCGGCAGTTATTGGAAGGATGAAAAACATTTTTGCACGACACGGGATCCCTCTAGAAATTCGTACAGATGGAGGTACACAGTTTACTTCTGACGAGTTCAAAGGTTTCGCAAAAGAGTACGGATTTAGAGCTGTAACTAGTAGTCCACACTTTCCTCAATCGAATGGAGAAGCTGAAAACGCTGTATCTATAGCCAAGAGGATTCTACTAAAGTGTCCGGATCCCAATCTTGGTCTATTAGCTTACAGGACCACCAAATTGGAATCGGGGTTATCACCTGCAGAGCTGCTGTATGGTAGAAAACTAAGAACAACTTTACCTTCTCTCAACGACTTTCAAGTGGTTGGAAAAGATCAAATAGAATCCTTTCGAAACTGTGACAAGAAAATAAGAGACAGAGTCAAGAAAAACTTTGACAACAGAAGAGGCGTCAAAGAACTTCCACCTTTAGCAGTAGGAGAGAGAGTCTGGGTTAAAGATATAAGTGCGAAAGGAACCATAAGAACAACAACCAATCTACCTCGATCCTACATAGTATCATTGAGTAATGGGAATGATGTAAGACGAAACAGATGGCATCTCATTCCCCTACCAAGAAAAGAGAATTATGATTCTGACGATGTCTACCGTGGAAGGAGGGTGCAGCCAACCTACAATGATGGAATAAGAAGATCGAGCAGAACTATCAGACCACCAATAAGATATGAGTAAATATAATGAGGAAGGGGAGATGTAGTGTCATTCATATGCCTTTGCATTTAACATATGTTTTATAATTTAGTTTGTTGTTGTGGTGATGATGACTCTTGTTGAATAATAAACACATTCTTTACTTGCAGCATTTATTAGTATTTTATATTATCTTACACCTACCCCAATACAAAAGCCCATATCCCTTCACACTATGGAACAAAGCAAAATTACAGTAAATTGTTTAAATACCCCCGCCACAGAAAACCTGCAGACTAAGCGAATTTCCACTTACCTGGCTGGATTTCTACTAAAATATATACCCTGAAAATTGTTAGATTTATTTCCTATTTAAATAACATTAATTTTATTGAGTACCTAGGTTTGCTGCTACAGGGAAGGTATTGACGAGTGTTTTTATTGAAATGTCGATAGCTTAGTATAAAATAAACAAAATTGCCAAATTTGATTAAAATATATCCATAAAAAAGAAAACTACAACAGTTTATTTATTCTCCATAAGAATAACATGGGAATTTTAATATTAAATTTTTTTGAATTATCTCCGTAACCGTTAGGCATACAACAAGGCTTCGATATACAAAATTATTTCTTTTTTTAAGCCCTACAAAATGGTCTGGAAAGAAATCGAGCGATTTTATGTTTTTAGAGTAAAAAATGGGGAAAAACAAATTTTTACCCCATAAAACCCCGTTCCCAAAGTCCGATCACGCTGGTTCGCGAAATTATTAGATTAAACGTAGGTTTACACGTTTCTACCAAATTTCATCAAAATCAGATCATTTTTGCTCGAGTTATCGTGCTAATGGACACATATATAAGTTATACAAATGAATTTGAATGGAGGGTGTTTTTGGCCTCTGGGATCTCAAAACAAAATACCCCCGCCGCAGCAAACCTGCCGACTAAGTGAATTTCCATTTGTATGAATTGATTTTCAGTTAAATGTATTTTTTAATTAGCATTAGGTTTTATGAGTACCTAGGATTGCTGCTACGTGGAGGGTAAAAAAGGGTTTTTTGGTTAAATATTAATTACTTAGTATAAAATAAATAAATTTAGGCTACAAAATTTGATCAAAATATATCCATAAACAAGCAAACTACTGTACAACATTTTACAATATTCTCTATAAGAATAACATGGGAATTTTAAATTAACATTTTTTTTTAATTTTCTCCGTAACCAATAATTGTACAAAATCACTTTGATATACTAAAATATTTTTTTTTTTTTTAAGCTCTTTCAAAAGGTCCGGAGAGATATTGGGAAATTTTGTGTTTAGAGGGTCAAAAATTAGAAAAACAAATTTTTACCTTGTAAAAACCCCCGTAACCCCGTTCCCATGGTCCGATCATGCTGGTTCGCAAACTCATTCAAGTTTATTTTGCCTTACACCTTCAAACCAAATTTCATCAAAATCGGACAAAAATTACTCAAGTAATCATGTTCACAGACACACATTTTATATACCGGTACATATATAAAAATTCAAATGAGTGGTGTTTTTGGCCTCTGGGGACATCAAAATGAAAAAGTAAATTGGTACCAGGCCTAGGTGTACCATGAGACCTACGGTAATAGCTACTTCCCTATAGGGATATTCACTAATATGAATTTGAACGGATGGTGATTTTGACCTTTTGGGTACCTCAAAACAAAATAGTAAATCGGTCCTGGGCACAGCAGGGCCGTATTTAGGATCAACGAGGCCCCCGGCAGCTCTCACCAGTGAATATATTCAGTGTTATTCTGATTCTTTGGAAGGTTGGAACTTAAGGGTAGAAACGAGGTATTGCTTCACCTCCATGAATTGGCCTTTTTTTCAACGATCTGATCGGCGAAAAGACTTAGGAAACTAGCTAGTAAAATAATAAGTCTATTATTTTTAAATAGGTAATATTATTATGGGTATTAGGTCGGGACCATACATTTTCATTTTTTTTCAGGTTGAGTAAACAATCTTCATCTTTGGGCATCAGATCATAATCTGAGTGGACAGAAAATCATAACAAATTACTTAAAAGTTTTAAGTTAAAACTTACTTAAGTTTTAAACTTACTTAGAAATTACTTAACTTATTAGCCTATTAAGCTACTAAATTATTTGTTTTCAAGCTCTTCAAAATGGGTGAGAGAGAAATTTTATGTTTTGAGGGTAAAAAAATAAGAAACCCCAATATATTTACCCAAATTCCTTCCATAAAACCCAATTACTTAGGCCTACTATGATCCGATAACACTGGTTCACAAACTCGTTAGAATAAATAGGCTATTTTACAAAACACCAAGTAAGGTATGTGCTAGGCATGCACTGTGGATGCGATACTCCCTGGTGTGGATTAACGTCCGCACGGGTGAGTACTACGACTATCCGCAGTACTATCCTGATAATTAGACCAATTCGTATATACCAACTGATGATTCCAAATGCATGTAATAACAACAAGACTAAATGTGCACTAACAAGACTACAAGATCACACCACTCATCCTACACTCATCTCCATTCATACTTGGCTTAAAATACCTACTTTGTATGGTCCCATTTAATAAGAAAGTATAAAGTATAAAGCATAGGCCTACTGTGGAGGCCTACCTCAAATGGATGGATGGCATTCATTACATTACCTGATACATAATAGATCCAAAATAAACAAGAATTTTGAAGTAAATCTATTTTAACTAGGCTACACAAAATATGGTAGAGTAACATATAGAAACATCAGATTACAAGTTATTTATAATTTAATTAATGTTAGAAATATTCCTTTAGACAAGTTGTAAAAACATAAAATAAGGCCATGAATTTATTTAAAAAGTAAATAAAATGAATAATTAATATAAAATAACTATGCTAACTGAATGACAATAGAACTACACTACTCACTCTTTGACAACAAAAAATGGATCTTCGAATGTCATGTCCGCTTCTACCGAGCGTTCTTGAGGGTGGAGAAATATAAACACTTTTTAGGAATCAGTAACATGGATGTTAAAATATAAGTATACCTAAAATGTTTTAGAATAAAATATAATTTAAAAGGTAAAATTAGCCAACATTCAACAGAAGAAATGAACTTCAATCCCGAACTGTCAAAACCGACAACCGCAGACGACGATCACAAACTTACGACGATTGTCCGATCCGATGGTGGCGGACGACATTACGACGAACACAAAACATATGTGAACAAGACAAGCTAATGAGCTGGACAACTTGACAAAAAACAGACATTTTGATAGGTACTATATGCAGTTTAGGGAACGTTTATAGAAATTAGTATATTGAATTTATGCACATCTATGTCAGATGTCTTTACTCAATTTAAATTATACACCAATAGAAAATTAACTGCTTTAAACAACACTAAAATCAACCATCAGTTCATACCACGAATGTGGTTCACAGTATCTCCCCCAGATGTTAATTCAATTGATATAGGACCAATGTAATTGCCACTTTGCATACAAGCCACTAGTACATTGCGTAGATAAAAAATGTTTTCACCACACTATCATGTTTTTGGCTGTATTACATACGTTAATTGGTGGCCGAAAGTTAGGTTTTGCTGGCGATGCCAGCTGTCCATAATTTGGGGACCGAGCAGGTTTTTACAGGCCGGGGCCGCAAAATCAGCTGTCCGCTTACTTACTTAAAACATGAATGCATTTTAAATACATAATCAAAATCCATAGCATTTCAATAGAATTGTGTTATTGTCACCGTTGCCTAGCAACTATATATTTTTATTTTTGCTGATTCCTCAAATTATTTCTTCACATAACCTTAAAGTTGTAGTTGTGTTGACTATCAGTGTGCATTATTATTGTGGTGAATAGTGGTAATAGGGTATAGTGTGGTGAAAAATAGCGTTCGTACCACGGACCGAAATGGTTTTGCGGCTCTCGATCGATTTAAGTTCTCGACTTCGTCTCGAACTTAAAAACTATCTCGAGCCGGCAAAACCTCATTTTCGGCCCTAGGTACGAAATATACTATTAATACCACAAGGGAGTATGTTTTATCTACGTTAATACTATGGTGGTCACCATTCCCATTATGTAAATCTAGATTTAATTAATACCTCGTTTGTTTTACAAGAAGTATACAGAAAGTACAAATATGCAAAATTTACATACTTTCACACTGATAAAGTTAGTTTGATAACAAAGTGCTAGGAAAATAAAACTATTATATTAAACACACATCAGCTACATCTCTTTAAATTGAGCTGGAGATACGACGGGAGGTAGCACTAAATGAATAAGAGAATGGTTGCGATACGTTGGCCCCATTTGTATTATGCGATAAAGTCCATGGGCGTACCCAGCCCTAGAAGCCAGGATAAGGTATAAAAAATTGAGATCCAAGAAAAATTTTATTAGTACGAGAAAAGATGAGTAAGATAGACAGATTTTTTAATGACATTTTTTGACACACGTTATCAATTTTTCATTAGATTCTGAGTTATTTCTTCAATATAATAATAAAAAATCCTACATTAGTTGTAATAAACAGACCAATTTCTTACAATATGTATAACAACTTTGTGTAGTATAATGAATTAATATAAACCAATTTTTTGTGACATTATTTTGTTTTCATTTGCCTTCAACAATAATGTAACGAACAAAATTGCTCTACGGCATAAGTTATCAGGCATTCTTCAAAATAGTTTACTGCACATTTCGGGTGTTATAAATGGATGTGAAAAGTTGGCATGGACACAAAAATACAGTTAAATGTTTATTGTACAGCTAAGCAAACTGACCTGGCCCCATTGACGGACATAAAGCAACTTCATAAACTAAGACCTAAACACTGGATTATCGAGCTAGGTTTGTTAATTAATGTCTCAAAATAGGGTAAAATACGCTAATTTCAGCATATCGATTTTAAAATTGTACTTGTGGCATTGAGAACATTAGTATAAATTATTTATTCATAGAACAGTTTTTTTTTGCAGAATGTGTAGCTTAGGTCCGTGCCACACTATCCCATTTCACCGGTCTGGTCAAACGAGACCCGGCGGGATGATTTAAACACATGGGTTTTTAATGGGCGTGGTCACATTGTTGCGGAGTTGCGGTTCGTCGACGGGATCCACCGCATGCTGCTGCGGCTCGGCGGGACAACCGGACGACGGGACGACTGACAAAACACACGCAATTAGTTAAATGAGAGCAGCCACACAATCCAGTTGTGCCGCGCGTTCGTCCCGGTTTGTCCCACCTATTGTTGCTATATCAATAGTGCACTGCATGTGATACTCGCACTCTTTTTTCGAAGTATGTTGCGGTAACTGTTTTTTAAGAATTTTTTAAAAGAATTTTCAACTCTGAGTTGAACTCTTTGCACCATTTGCTCTGTGCTAGTGATCACTGCCACCTCTTTAACTCCAGGCCACTGCCTGGTAGAATTGGCAACGTTTGCAAGTAGCGCGTAGCGTATAGCGCAAGACGTCCCATAAGATAACATGGGAGACAGGTGCCACCAGTCACCTAGCTCATCAATTCGCGTATTTTAATTTAACCAAGCTTTCAAATTATAGTATTAAAAAAATACACAGATACCATTAGCTGCCTCCAAAACAACACAGCTGTTACAACATATTACCATACACAGATATTCCGTGTACATTTTTTGACGGTGCCATACAATGTATTTTGTTTTCGCAATACTCTAAACGATTTGATTTGATTTGAACCCTACTTGCGACGTTGCCATTTCGAAGGCCGTTGCCTGGAGTTAAAGGTGTTCGTGCTAGTGATCCAAACTCCATAGACGGGTCGCCGGAATTTTATCACTCTGGAATTTTACCCCCTGGGCAAAGCTAACGTCCCTATGACGTAGTAGCCTGAGCGCTCAAAAGTTTGTTCGCGGGCGGAATTTTACCCTCGCGGATTTGGAAGTCTAATGAAAATAGACAGAGCGGGATTAATTAGATTAGCAATAAAAACCGGAATTTTACCTCCTGTCCATATAACTAGCGTTTAGACAACTGAAGATGTACGGGCCGGTTTTTTACCCACGGAATTTTACCCCTGGATTTTTACCCCCCGGAATTTTACGCCCTGGCAGGATATAACAATTATTAAGAATGATTGATTTTAGAATGATTGATTTTCTTATTTTTATTTAATTGTAAACATTTTATTATTAAGTAGCCTAAATTTTTTTATTTATTTTATAATCTCATCTAAGTAAACAACATTCACTGTTTAATTTTGATCATATTAACCAACAGTTGGCTTCAATGATCGAATCCTAATATTCTAATCTCAAAATTAAAATTAAAAACATGTTCGATTAGTTGATGTTACAAATAAATTAAGATAGGCTACTTAAAAATAAAATGTTTTCTATTACATTAAAACTGAATGAATAGAATTAACCATCCTCACTAATTTATATCTGGCCAGGGGGTAAAATCCCGGGGGTAAAAATCCGGCCCGTACATTTTGAGCTGACCTCATGAAGGGGGTAAAAGTCCGGGGGTAAAATTCCTGCCCGTACACTCTAGGTTTTAATAATTTGATGTGTTCTGATTAAATTCATAACCGTGAAAATATATGTTCAATTCCGCGTTCAATCTATCGAACTGATGTCGCGAAAGTCAAAAGTTGCGACCGGAATATTACCCCCTGGTTTGTGACGTCACGTTTGCCCAGGGGGTAAAATTCCAGGGGGATAAAAATCTGCTACCCCCCAAAGACCTATCTCATTGAGCTTTTGGAGTTGTAAAAGTAAAAGCATAGATTAAGAATACCCAGAATACCATAAGGAGTATGTTTAATCTATGGTTAAGGGTGGCTGTGGAACAAACTAAACTCGTCTGATTACTAGTCTTTGAAATGGAGTTGCAGAAGGAGGAGAGAACAGAAACTTGAGGTCAGACGTCAGACAGAAGGAGTTCTGGAGTTTGGTTTTGGAGTGAGTGTATTGATCTGACATCTGACAGGTGTTACTGTTACTGCTGGTACTTATCTCAACATTCTATGGCATTGCTAACGACCGCTTAGCTTTGAATTTTGGGTGTGTTCGTGTGTTGTGATATCGCTGACAAGGAATAAATTTGTTGTTTTGAACAGTTACCCTGTCATTGCAGAACCTCATTTTAGTGAATAATATCCACCAAGGATGGGTGATGAAAGTGGAAGCAGTACCAGAGCTGCAGAGCAAAGGTTACAATTACTTCAAGAAATGAGGTGCCAAAATTTTGATATGATAAGATTTGCTTCTTACCGAACTGCGTGTAAATTAAGATTCATCCAAAAGAAGTTTCACTGTAAGTAAACATCTCATAGATAAGTTAGCCTAGTTTATCTTCTAGCCCAGTAGGCCTACGTTGGCTATTCCCTCTCAACACCAACAGACAAGACACATTTACATTTAGCGCAGGGTTTTGTAGCCTAATTGATTAAAACAAGCAAATGGTAAGACTAACATACTGTAATAAGAAATGGTGGTTTTAGTTTTGGCAATTGCTGTGTTGTGCCTAAGAAAACATTGTGCCCTAAGTTATTATACAGTACTTCTTAAACTTTTAGTTTTCCAGGTACTAGTAACCTGGTTGTTAGCCAGTTTTGTTTGTCTCCTAAATTGTCAGCACTGCAGTTAATACTGCCAATGTTGTCGCGGTCAGCCATTCAGTTACCGGTCTCCGATTTGAATAAACAGAGTTGGACAACAAAGTTCACTTGAGCCACAGAGATAAAGTTAAGATAGGCCTAAAGAAAAAAAACATGCTTATGGAACAACTGTGCATTTTTAGCTCTAGAATGGTGGAAATATACTAGGCCTAGTACCGAGTAAGGAAAAGCCCGAACGGCTAAATATTGTTTACTAAGCTATAGCAGTTAACCCTCCCAGTGTTACTTGACGAAAATTCGACAAGCAGCACACTTTGTGTAGTGTTACTTGTCGATTTTTCGACACGCAGACATCGTTTACGGCGAAGGCTCTATGACTGACTGAATCGGATTGAACTGGATCGAGTTAGGTATCGTTCTTTCCGTAATATTCTAAGCTTTCTCCGGAGGTCTGTCTCTAAGCGCTATTCATTTTAGTTCCGAAAATATTGTAGCAGACAGCTGACGTGCGTGTATTTGTAAACAGCTAGGTTCCCCCGGACCGATGACTGATGTGTTTTATTACGTTTATCATTGTTTTAGTGTTAAAAATCAAAAGTAGTGATATACGTGGTGCATTATAAGAAGATTTAAGTGGTTTTGAAGTGCTGGTTGATGATCCTGAAGAAGTAGGTAGTGATATTGATGTAAATTATCAGCCAGATTCCTAGCTATGGTTAGGCTATGCATTCTTAGCTAAACGCTATGTACTGAAATCAGTTTTTTGCCCATAACTTATTTATTTGCAAATCTACTTCCTTATATTATTATATATTTGTAATCCTCATAAAATTTAGAACAAAGTGGCTATTTTCAAATATTTATAGGCCTATAATTTATACAATTTCATTGAGCGCAAACTTATTTTTTTTTTTGAAAATTTTCGAAATTATATTTTTTTACCTAAAATTTTTTTTTTTTTTTAAATGTTCCTTATGTTTTATATATAATATTGAAGCCCATGATTTTCCAAACAAAATGGTATATAGAACATTAGAATTAACATTGTTTTAAGCTTCTCAGATCCGTTTTAATAAAACCTTGCAAATGCGCCAAAAATAGGTGGACATTAAGGCCTAAACTTGGAGGGTTAAAATGTAGTAGGCCGACACAGGCTTTTCCTACAGCATGAGCGCTGTAGTTCGTGATGATGAGGGGGGAGAGGAGAGGCGATAGGGGACGACTAACTTAATAGAGTTTGCACTAGACACAAGTGACTGGTGCTAGACACGACTTAGTGTACCGGTACCATTGAATGTTTCCTCTAGGTATCTTACTTCTCTGTCGCTTAAGTTAGTTTAGGCCTATACTTCCTCGTGAAGCAACAGGCAATAGGCCAAGCCCTCTACAAGTCGTGTTGAAAACCTGTAAATGCCACGTGATTTTACGGTGATGCAGAGTTTTATAAAAAGAATCAGGCTATACAAATTCGGAAGTTAAGTTAGCCTAGATGCATTATAAGTTAAGGTGTAAGGTGACCATGAGAACCTAGATAGTAATATAAGGTGTTGTTAAAAGAGTGCCAGGATTTTAAATGATAGCCTAATTGTTTGGGTGCTATTCAAGCTAGCTAAACATTTTATAGGCTACGTCAAATTGAAGCTAAAATAACTAAGTTTTGTTTCTAATAGGAAACAACTAGGCCTAGGCCTAATAGGAAATTTACAAGTGCCACCGAGCATTGATTTTTGTTAACCAATCAGTTCCTATTAAGGCTTGTTAGGAAGGTAGGTCAGGCTTTATGAGGATTGATTCGTGGCAGAATGAAGTGTTTCAAAGTTAGTTTAGATTTGGAAGCTAAAGTTAAGGTTATATAATGAACCAAATTGTTGATTTATCTTACCTCGAGAAGCTTTTTTTAAATGTAGTCTAGCTAAGAAAATTTAGTACCTATCCTAGGCTATATTCCTTCTTTTAATCATAAAAAACCATTAAAAACTCCAGTGACATAACTTTCTTGAAAGCAGCCAAAAAATTAAATGTTTTTACAGCAACCTAAGACTTCAACAGTCACATTTCATATGATGAACATGAATTTAATAGCCCATATAATGAAGTTTAATTTATAAATGTAACAGGCCCTATATTTATAAACTTAGGCCTATAAATTTTTATCTGAAATAAAACAATTTTATTAGAATTTTAACAGGAAAAATGTGTGCCTAATGTAGTTTAAAATTACTTTTTCAGTGCATTCAGTTGATATTTGGAACGTTATCGAAGCATTCAGAGAAAATGGTCTCAATACATTGGAGCCTCAAACTGAAGTTAATGTTTCGAGACTTGAAATGCTAATTTCTAGTCTGTACCACAATCTGAACAAGCGTCTTCCGTTAGCACAACAAGTCCATGTGGAATCTCTCACTAGTCTGTTGTTAAACTGGCTACTCTCTGCATATGCCATGTAAGTTGTTTTATTGTTAGTATTTTATTTTTAGTTTTTCAACTTCAGTGGAATTTGTACGGTATCCAAAAACACAGCACTGGTTATTTAACTTAGGTTACCTCTTGTCATTTAGTGGCATAAGAAATATTGTACGCCTGGCTATCAACAAAGTCAAGAAAAATTATAAGATGCTAAAAAGTTGGTATACACAAAATAGATGCGTAGAAGAAAAACACTAGGCTGTTTTAGCTGAAAATAATAGATCATTGCCTGGAAAAGTTGGTAAAAATGAAAATATACAGGTTGTACAAGTTGCCAAAAATGAATTTAGCCTAAACATTTTAGGAGATTAATAAAGTTTTTGCATTTCTGTTCAAACTAAAATTTAGTACCTACTTATACGATTAATACAAAAAATAAAATTATTTAAATAAAAATAGACTCAATAACAAGGCTCCACAACTTTGGTGAGTTTTTGATACAAATATTTATAAAGAATACAGTTTAATATTTTGTAACTAACTAGGCTTACATAAGATTGAAAACCAAATATAAAAGGAACCTGTAATAATGTACATTATGTTTTAGTGAAACTCTCGGAAGAATTAGAGTATTCTCAATTAAAGTGGCGTTGGCTACCATGTGTGCGGGGAAGTTGATGGATAAGCTAAGATGTAAGTACAAATCACACTAAAATACACAAAAGTCCTGCTAACTCCAACTAATTGGAACCGGACCCTATTCAGTATTACTACATTTTTTAATCAGTCGGAAATAGATTGGAATTGCATAGTTGAACTATTTAAAAATGTATTTTAACCCTAGGTATAGCTGTAAATGGCCATTATATTGTTTCCACGATAAATCACAAAAACACCATGTTTATCTTCCCTGATCTTGTTCTTCTTACAAAGAATTCTGTCAATGAATCCATGAATGCTAGGTCTATTTCTAATTATTCAAAATTTATATGCAATTCGCAAACTTTTGTTCATCCCCAACAGGTGGTTTGGATTAGCCGGACATTCGGATAGCCTTGGGTGTAGGCTATCCAATCCAAGAGAGTAGAAGTTTTACTTAAAAATACTCTTGTGCTTTTAAAAGCTCCTATGTATACTCATAACATTCATATTTAAATTTATACCATATTTTACTTACTTGTTTATTTTTTCAGACATTTTCTCCCAGATTTGTGATGGCAATGGACACATGGTGGCCTGGAAGTTCTCTGAGTATCTAAGAGAAGTTCTCTGTCTCCCAGCTGCTGTGTATGAATCTCCCAGCTTCAGCTTCAATGACAACCTTGCAACTGATATATTCTCTGGGGTAAGTTTCCCATTAGGCCTACGTTTTTTAACTTTTTAAATTTGGGGAAATGATTAGATTTTTGTAATTGTGAGTCGACGATTTTCACAAATGTAACTGGGTACATATTTTATTTCATTAATGCAGCAGTCAAAGTGTGCTGGTGCAATGGCTGGGTTGCGTTCTGAATGCTGACACATCCTAACATAGTCCCGCCTACTGCTGTGGTCAGCCAAGATGTCTGTTACATTATGGACTGCTTTCGTGTTTGTTGACATTTGAAACAAAGAGAAATTACACTTTATAAATTTCATCAGTTCAATTACTGTATTCACTTCATTGTATCTATTCGTGAGAGGTTACTTTTATTATTTTCTTTGTACAGAATGGCAAAGTGACTGTGAACGACTTCATGGACACCATGATGTCTGACCCAGGACCACATTGTTTGGTTTGGTTCCCTCTACTGCATCGGCTGACCAGCGTTGAGAGTGGTTAGTAATGTTTATTGAAGCTCATTACTTTTAAAAAAGATATTTGATTTTAACCCCACACACACAGCAGTCAGCAACAAACAACTGCCAAAACTTTTACAAACTCCCCTTTCAAATAAAAATAAACTGTAGTTTTTACTAATTTCCATAAACAACGTTTGTTTGAATGAAATATTACAATACCTGGAAATAATGTCAGGTGAGCTAGAATTTGGTTATACAACCATCGGTTTTGAACTTTGGTTAATTGTGAAATACATAACAATACAAGATTACTTTGTCCCTGGGATTGTGGAGAGATATCAGCCATTTACAACCACATAAAACACGGATACAAAAACTAATATAAATTCAATCTCTATATCCCTCCGAGTGTCCATAGTTTAGGCCTTAATGTCCACCTATTTTTGGCCCCTTTGCAAGGTTTTATTAAAACGGATCTGAGAAGCTTAAAACAATGTTAATTCTAATGTTCTATATACCATTTTGTTTGGAAAATCATGGGCTTCAATATTATAAATAAAACATAAGGAACATTTAAAAAAAAAAACATTTTTAGGTAAAAAAAAATATAATTTCGAAAATTTTCAAAAAAAAATAAGTTCGCGCTCAATGAAATTGTATAAATTATAGGCCTATAAATATTTGAAAATTGGCACTTTGTTCTAAATTTAATGAGGATTACAAATATATAATCATATAGCGAGGTAAGTTATCAAATAAATAAGTTATGAGCGAAAAACGGATTTCAGTACATAGCGTTTAGCTAAGAATGCATAGCCTAACCATAGCTAGGAATCTGGCTGATAATTTACATCAATATCACTACCTACTTCTTCAGGATCATCAACCAGCACTTCAAAACCACTTAAATCTTCTTATAATGCACCACGTATATCACTACTTTTGATTTTTAACACTAAAACAATGATAAACGTAATAAAACACATCAGTCATCGGTCCGGGGGAACCTAGCTGTTTACAAATACACGCACGTCAGCTGTCTGCTACAATATTTTCGGAACTAAAATGAATAGCGCTTAGAGACAGACCTCTGGAGAAAGCTTAGAATATTACGGAAAGAACGATACCTAACTCGATCCAGTTCAATCCGATTCAGTCAGTCATAGAGCCTTCGCCGTAAACGATGTTTGTGCGTCTTAAACTCGACGCGTGACCCTACACAAAGTGTGTTGTGCGTCTTAAACTCGACGCGTGACCCTCGGAGGGATATATACAGGGTGTCCATAAAAAACGTTTCAGGACTTTGGGAAATGAATCCCCATACTAAAAGGAAGAAAAAAGTTTATGGGAAGGTATGTCCGAAAATGCATATTAACCCAGATATCCGCCATTTTGTTTTTTATACAAAAATATTTTTATCTGTAAAGTTTTTTATTCGACGATTATGAAATTTGGTATACATGTTAACATACACAAGACCTATGATAGAAAAAATAATAAAGTTGTTCCAATTGTAAATTTCAAAATGGCGGCCGTTTGAATTTTTCTAACTTAAATAACTCAAAAACGGCTAATTCTATTAAAAAAGGTCAAGAATACTTTTTTTAGCATTTTTAATTTCCTATCAAACGATACCAAGATCAAAAAGATCGGACAAAAGATAACTGAAATATAACGTTTTTTGTGTAAAAATAAGGCAAAAATTAGGGGTTCCCCGACTAACTTTGCCTTATTTTTACACAAAAAACGTTATATTTCAGTTATCTTTTGTCCGATCTTTTTGATCTTGGTATCGTTTGATAGGAAATTAAAAATGCTAAAAAAAGTATTCTTGACATTTTTTCATAGAATTAGCCGTTTTTGAGTTATTTAAGTTAGAAAAATTCAAACGGCCGCCATTTTGAAATTTACAATTGGAACAACTTTATTATTTTTTCTATCATAGGTCTTGTGTATGTTAACATGTATACCAAATTTCATAATCGTCGAATAAAAAACTGTACAGATAAAAATATTTTTGTATAAAAAACAAAATGGCGGATATCTGGGTTAATATGCATTTTCGGACATACTTTCCCATAAACTTTTTTCTTCCTTTTAGTATGGGGATTCATTTCCCAAAGTCCTGAAACGTTTTTTATGGACACCCTGTATATAAATGCGAAACTCCGATCAATGCACAGGCAAAACCATAGCCCCTAGAAGCATGAGATTTTGCATACATATTCCTCTCAAAGCGTGGCAGACAATAAGAAGCGATTTAAAAAAAAATCCCAATGGGCCCAGCCACACAGAAGGTGAAAGTTATCATGGAGTTCATATAGGAAGAATAATTTGTTTTGGGTTTTTGTTTACATTTTTCTGCAATTTATTTAACCATCAGCTGTTAGAATAAAAAAATTAAGTTTACTGAGGTTATTTCGGAGCATATAAACATCATAGTTGTGTGTCAGTGAAATTAACCTAATTTATTGTGGAATTTTAGTTTTATCTGTAGTTTTTTTCTGTTATGTGTGATTAGTGTTGAAAAAAGTAGAATTGAACTGATTTTTTTATTGCATTTAAATTTGTAAGAACTTATGATAGGCTATAGTTCTGTTAGTATTTTTGTAGTTGTTTAAACCATTACATTGTATGGGCACTAAGGTTTTAAATGTTAATGGCGAGTTTGTTCAACACAATATCATTCACATCAGAGGAGATGGTGCATGTTTATTTACTTTACTCGCATTAATAATTCACCTTACACACATACACACACTAACTGTGCGCGAAGCAATTGTTGAACATGTTGTGAGGAACTGGGACTACTTCTCAATCTTATCCCGCGACAGTGACAGGAATAATTACCTTAATTCTAGGGAATACTTCTATGAAATGTCCAAGCCGTTAACCTTTGGTGGGTTGTGTGAGCTGGTTGCGGCTTCACAACTATTCACATTTGTTTTTGAGGTTTATCGGAATGGTGAATTATATGTCAACGTAATCCCGTGAAAAGACTCAGATTTACACAATTCCCGTCTAGTGGGCACTTTGACGTTTTAGAGCCACAAAAAGAGCCCATTTCTCCCAATTGTCAGCCAAATCAAATCTCTTTTTGATAATGTAGTTGAGGCCATAGTGATTACTGGATGTGCCTGAGGGAAATCAGTTTTTATACCATGACTTATGATCGCAGGACTAGACTTAAGAGAGGATTGTTTTTCTCATGGGCAATTTTATTTTGCATGTTTGCGGGTCAGCTCAGCCACTAGTCTGGTGATGCTAGCACCTTCTGGGAAAACAAAAAATGTCATAGCCTATACAAAGAAATTCTGTAAATAGTAAAAAATAGTATGAATAACAAACAAACTTTTGACTGTAGTTTCAATCATTATTGTAAAATGAAATATAAAAATTAAAATCATTTTTTGTTTTTCCTATTTCATGTGATTTATTTTATCTTGCACTTAACCACAAATTTATTAAAAATGCCAACCAGTTTGAAAGTTTCCGTAGCGAAGCACAGGTATTCCGCTAGTAGCCTACATAGAATTGGTCAGGTAAAAATTACCAACATTGTTTCAGTTGTACACCCGACTGTGTGCGATGCTTGCCAGAGAGAGAACTTTTCAGGGTTTCGCTATAGATGTCAGAAATGTCACAGCTTTCAGATGTGTCAGGACTGCTTCTGGAGAGGCAGAGTGTCTTCGTCCCACACAATTGAGCATGAAGTTAAGGAATACACTTCTTATGTAAGTTTGATTGAATTGCTTTCCTGTGATTTGATAGATTGAGTGCTTAGTAATTAATTTAGTTTGTAGAGTAATTCTAGCAAACCTATTTTGGTAGTACAGTATGTGACGCAAAATTCTAGGGGGAAATAAACTAGTATTCACCAAGTCAGGCTAGGCCTAGAACTGGCCACACTCAAAATTTCTTCCCCGGAGTGCTCAGAAGGAGCCGAGATAAATCCAGGGGTCGATGCGAAGTTGTCACGGCTTTGACTGATCAATTTATTTAAATTTAATCAAAGGCTCAGAGCTCTAGAAGCGCTCAGGAAATCCTGCAGACGCCCAGTTGGAGCTATATCATCCCAGCCTTCGTTAACGTGTTGTGGAGAATTATGCCTAACTTTTAGTATGACTCTGTAGGGCAGGTACAAAATTCAAATTGCAGCTCTTCAAAGTGATTTAAATCTATTTTGTCCCGAACACAACCGATTGGGGAGCAGATCGATCAGGTGTTCTAGCTTCTTCCTCCTATAGGGGTAGGCCTACTGACTACAATTAAATCCATTTATTTTTCAGAAATCCCCAAGTAAACAGATTGGTCATTCACTGCGAAAATCATTCCGATGTGTTCCTGAAAAAGGCAAAGCATCACACCCACGATTCCCAGACGAACCTGAAAAGACAATCAACCTTTCCCATATTGTGTAAGTTTAATAAATATTAATAACTCTAAATATTTAGTGGAAATAGTTCTTGTTGTAATCTGAGCAAATAAATGTCATTAATTGGTTATGAAAATCATTTCTTGAAACCTATGTTTAATATGTTACAAATATTAAAACTTTAATAACTCCGATGTACTGTACACTTACAAGTAATCATGAGTGTAGTAGCCAGTGAACTTGCATTGACCTGGTCAAGACACTAAGTGCTCAGAACGATAATAAAAGCTTTGAAGATTTGTAAAATTTGTTTAATTTTAAAAGACCCTTTTTTGGAAAGGCTGTAGCTATCTGTGCAGTTGTAACATTTTGTTATTTCAATAGCCAGCATTCTTCTCTAATCAATCTTGACAATTTTATTTAAGGTGCAGTTAATCTAGTCAGGACGCAGGACTTTATCCAGTTGATTCGGGATAAAATCATGCCGATTAATAATAGCTTTCAGCGGACAAAACTGTGAATTGGTTGTTTGGTACTGTACCAACATTAACATTTATGTGTACTTACCTAGAAAAATAGGTGTCTTGTGCGAGAAGAACATTCTCTTTATTGGTAAACTACCTCCTTTTATAGCCTTGTCTTTTTTTCAGGCCTCCATCTCCTCTTCCATCCCACAATGGGTTCCCAGATGCGTACGGAACTTCACCCTACGATGTTGGTTCTCTTGATAGCAGATCTACTGCGAGAAGGTAACATAGTTAACTTTAGACCAAATTGAGTAACTCTACCATATTCTTTCCTTGCAATCTTCATAAACCAGAAACAATGTTACTCACTAGTTTGTTTGAGTTGTTTTAACTTTATGTTTTAAACCTGAAAATTTGAACGTTTGACTTGAAATTGAAAATCTTGAATTTTCCTTGCATTTTTACTTTTATGGCTTGTTGGAGATCATGAACACACTTGACAACAAACTTGAATCATTAGCAGTAGTTATAAATAGTAGCAGGGAACCTTATGTAGTCTCGGGCGACTAGTTTTGAAAAAGTTGTTTCATTATCAAGCCCATTTCGTCACACATAAATTAATTGAACAATTTCTTCGTCAATATTTAACATTTAAACACCCAAAGAACACGGATATATTTGATAAACATAGAATAATGCGCAGCCGGCCATAACACGCACGCACGTCGACGTATACGCCTTCGCTAACCCTTATATTTGTTGCATTATTATAATGTGTAATAATGTTATATGTTATTATGTTATAATATTTGTTTATGTAGTTGAGTCGTTTCCATCGACGTGGGTGCGTGCTATGGCCGGCCGCACATGTATGTAAACAGTCACTTCCATGTTCTTCATCTATTTCATGTTCTTCAGTCATTAAAAGTTAAATTTGTACATATTGACCACGACATTGTGTTCAATTAATTTATGTGTGACAAAATGGGCTTGATAATGAAACAACTGTTTCGAAACTAGTTGCCCCAGACTACAAAAGGATTGACAACGTAAGGTACATAAACCTATTTATTAATAAATATTTTATAAATCAATCCTGGAGGCAATGCTGAATAAAGTAGCAGGAGGGTGGTTTTTAACGTATAAACCAGTGATGTGTTATAATTATTCTCTCGCAGTCCAGGAAAGTATACCGGAAGCCTGGACTCGTCCCGGATGGATGATGAACACAAACTGATTGCTCGATACGCCGCAAGACTGGCTGCTGAGTCCCGGAATAGTGTAAGTTGTCTCTAGTACATTTTAGTGTTAAACCTTTTCTACTCTGACCAATTTTCCAAGTATGAGAATAACTATATATATGTGTGAGTTTTGGGTAAACTAAGGTCTGCAACAAGTGCCAATCACGGCCAATTGAGCTCATCAAATGTCTCCTACAGTGAGAGGAGAGATTGTCGCACCTACCAAGTAAAAATTAACTACTTCCTGTTTTTAGATTTCCGTAGTCTAAGGGGCCAATCCTTGTTAAAGTCCATTGCTAGTTTATGGATGCAAACAGCAATAAGTGTTGGAAGGAAAAAAAGTGCATAACAGTTGGAGGGTTTTTAAGATGGCTGTTGAAAATTTTGCATGCAAAACATGGTTAATATTGTGCTCCAAGGTTGTGGTTGTGTTCAATTTTTATTTAAGCAGTGACCAAATTTGCGCAAGTTTGGCATGCAGTTCCTGGTATGACTGGACAAGAGATTACCAAACTGATAGGATGCGTCTCTTATTCACTATGAAATAATGAACTAACTAGGATAATTGCTCGTGATAATTATTGTTTAAATAATTTACAACAGTATTTATGGTTTTGTTTTTCCACAATATTTGTTATATGCAGTACAATAATTGCAATTGGACAATAAAATCTTGAATGAAATGCTCCAAGCATCTGACCAGCATTTGTTTGCACAGCAGGGTCGCACAGCTTCTGAAGCATCGCTGGGCCTGGACACTTCTCGAGCACAGAGAGAGCTCATTACCCAGCTGGAGGCCAAGAACAGAGAGATCATGAGGGAGATTGCACGACTGCGCAGGCAACAAGAGCTGGAGGTGAGCGAGAGTTTAAAGTGATTGTATATGGTACATACTCAACTGTGAAAACTGTGAATACGTGCATTTTGCTAACCATGGAAAAATCTGGATTGAGTTGTGAAGTTAACCGTGAATATGGAGTTAAATCTTGTATATAGGGATGGGACAATACAAATTCTTGATTCTGCAAAACATTCGAGATATATAAGAAACTGTGAATTCTTGATATCTCAAGCCTTTGAATTGAATACCAATTTTAGAATCTCCTGTAATCAAGGGAAAGTAGTGATGTTTACTGCTTTCACAGTAACATCATATTTCTATTCCACCATTGTGGCAACCAAACAACCTATAAATCATCTACCACAATCGCTGTGTCATCGTGAATTTCCAGTAGGGAATACTTTGTAGACAAGCTTTTGGGATCGCTTTAATATCCATAGATAAACGACCAAAAATTGTAACCATAAAAAATGGAAATGAAAAGGTTTGTGTTTTGAGTAGGCTATTTTTATTAGAATGTATGAATATTTTGAATGTATAGATCCTTAACTTAAAAAGCTGTCCTGATTATTTTAAAATCATTTTGATGTCAAGAATAGTGTTAAATGGTAATTGTAAGCCCTGTTGTTCCGAAGGTGGGACTAGAGGAGAACCCAGCACTGATGTCTGAGCTGCGAGCTCTGAGGCAACGTAAGGATGAGCTGGAGACTCATCTCACATCACTGCAGGACTCTCGCAGACATCTCATGGTGCAGCTAGAGGGACTCATGAAACTACTCAAGGTAATTCGACTACAAATTGCCTAGCAAAGGTCTTTGTTGGTGGAAATGTAGGGGGTAGAAGAGTTTGAATCAATGATTTTTCTTACTAAAGTATTGAGCCTAAATTACAAGATATTTCCAGTAGGTAACATATTAGAAAATGCTGCTTTGTGATTTGACGAAAGAGTAAATGTCACTCTCGGTTAGTATGCAATGAAATGTGCTCAAGGTCAAAAGTAGTTTCATTAGTTACAGTAGAGTTTTAATTATCAAACCTAAACCAGACGCTGCAAAGTCATACCACACGGACATTTTACGGTACTCCATATCCCACAGGGAGGGTCAGATATCACGGAAAATTGGATAACCGGGAGTCAGGTAATGACTCAAACTGTAAAAAAAATAAGTTTAGACTTTTTGTAATCTAAATATTTTTAAATCTTAATATGCCTACATTATGTCACTTTATGCACAATAAGTGTTGTGATTAAACACAATATGTTCAAGGCTTGTAGAATGACTGTTACTGTTTTACAGAACCACCAAGCGTCGCCCAGGTCTACCCCCAACTCATCGCCCCGCTCCACCAAGTCTCCCCCACCATCCTCCAGGTCAGCTCCCCCCACCCCTGGCTCTGTCATGTCGGGAGCAGAACCACCGTCTCTTACCAATGATGTGCGCTCTGCATTCGGCGGCTCAGCTTCTTTACTGGGTGAGTTTCTTTAATACTGGAGTTATTAACCAATCACTTCATTCCTTAATTTAAAATATGAGGCCAGATTTTATAATTACTTGGGAGTTTGCGAGACAGAAAATTTTATTTCATTAAACAAATGCTTGTGAGAGTAGGTCATAATATATTGCTGTGATTGCGGGAGATGATAACTTATTTACAGTATTGTTGTATGGGTGTAGGTCATAATATATTGCTTTGGAGTGGATCACAATATTTTTCTGCAACTACAGGAGTAGGCTACGATATATTTAGACTACTACTAACAATCAACACTTGCTTATGTTGTGTTAGGATCATCCAACAACTGCCTGGCAGGAGGAGGTGGCAGTGACGGAGGTAACCGTAGCCTCAGAAGTGACTTGCTGGTGGCCGCGGACTCTGTCACTTGCGCCATGTCTACTCTCGTCCGAGAACTCAATTCTGGTGAGTCTCACCTGGTTACTTTGTACAGTAGAACCCCTCAACTATGCCACTAAGGGAACAAGTCCCTGGAAGGACATCCATTTGATCGGTAAACCAACCTATTATAAAAAGATTACTAATTTCAAATTGAACTGCCTTGAAACTCTTAATATTAAATTATAGATGAAAACCTACTTAATTATTTGTCAGAAAGTTACAAAAAGAGTTATTTTATGCTATCTAGGCTACATATATGAAGCTTATTACAGCACATTTTCAACAACATTAAATTGTTATATGTTTAAAATAAATCACATCGACACATCATTCAAGTGTTTGTAAATACTTGACAAACATCACTAATTGTGATTCATTGGCTTAGTGATAAATCACGATCAGCTGTATTGAAGTAAAAAAAAACCAGCTGTAAATGGCTATTAATGCTATTCTTCTGGAGAACATTTTACATTATATCTAATTTTGTGTTAACATTTTGGGAATTTAACTATTTTCCCCGCCGTCACAGGATCGAGACCTTTAAGTTGAGCCCTCTCCCATCGTTCTACGACTTCTCAGTCGCCCAAAATTTTGAGGCAAAAAATCACCTTACGTAATTAATATATAAGATTGTAAAAAAAGTAGTGTTACTAAACAAGATAATCTGTGGTTTTAATAGATGAATCTGGCAAAATAAAAGCAGCACACCTTAATCAGTAGGCTTTAATTTGATTCATTCAACACTCATCCTTCATTTATCTTCGCCTTAACATATGCAGCCTGGCTTTTCAGCGTACGAAACCGATCTAATATATTTGTTAATCTTTCAGAAGGATCAGACCAAGAAGATAATCAAGACCAAGGAAACATAAGGAAACCCCTAGGTAAGATAATTATTTGATGTAAATACTCAAATTTGTAGACAAATATTTTTCCCTACAGTTACCTGACAAACTGGGCCTCCTTGCACTAATTTTAGCACGCAAAGTAGCTAATTGCTGCATTTACGTACTTTTGCCGCACTTAATTTTTTTTTGTACTCCAGTATTCCAACCAAACAACACAAAACAGTGTGCTTTTATTAGGCACATAATACGTGTACGCTTGAAAATAAGATGACAACACTTAAAGATACTACGATCAGCTGGTGCAGCGTTTCCCATTTCGTCCAACGCTCGGATTTAACCTAACCTAAAAACATGTTGTATAGAGTTTGAAAAACTAATTATTTATATGCTTTATATTAACTGAAGGAAAAATAATAATATAATGTGTAACACGAGCGCAAAGTATTAAAATACTATTATTAGTATTAAAATACTACAACTAAAACCCACTTAAAATTAATATCAGTTATAATATTTTATATTTTCTGCTGTGTTGTGTAATTGTTGGGATGTGTACAGAATTGGACGGACAAGTGGTGGAAGACAGATGGGGGGCTGAGCTTTGCAGTAGATATGACCAGGAGGCTCAGTTCTTGAACAACAGATCCGAGTTTGATAATATGGTATGTCAACTTCTTGATATATGCTTACATTAAATAGTAGTTACGTTTCAAGGATTTAAAAAGATGGTTTGACTATTAAAAAAAAATATCTATGTTGTGAGTTTGTAAGAGTTTGTGTTCCGGTGTTGTCCCTAAAAGTTTACCAGTAAAGTTCATTTCTGTACTTAAACGGTTCACCCTTTGCTTTGAGGCATACGTTACATGCTAGGCCTTTTGAGACCGAGGTGAACATAATGATTCAAGGTAACATTAAAGGCGACTAACTTCCTAAAAATGAACAGATTAAAATTGCAATTGAAAACATAAGAGAAAGAATTAATTGAGATTTTCATGAAGTTGTGAGTAGGCCTACATGTAATGCTTGAAAATATGATACTTAAGGAACTGGGAGGGTGTGGTATAACTACAGAGAAGTAAGATACAGAGGAAACATTCAATGGTACACTTAAGTGGTGTCTAGCGCTAGTGCTGATGTCTAGGGCAATGGCTCCCTTCCGCCTCCTCACCATCACGTACTACAACGCTCACGGTGGAGGAAGACCCTTTGCCTTGTGTGATAGGATTTGCCACTCAGTGCTAGCCCTTCATGCTCATCCTTGTTCGTCACAAGTATACTACCGCGCCAACATACCAGAGCTGAAAGCACACGGTTGTCCCATAAGCTTGTATCCTCTGGACCTTACTTCTCTGTGGTATAACCAAAAACTCTGGATCACCACAAATATTGCTAAAGTTAACCTATAAGTTAATGAGATATAACTTACAATTTCTTGAAATGTACTCTTTGACTGCTTGTGAATCAAATGAATCATTTGAGGCATTATTAAAAAAGTTCAATGTTTGTCATGTACAACACATAAAATAAAATTCCAGCATTGGGAGTGTGTCCACTGTCCAGCTGTCAAGTGTCAGATTATCAAATGCTGACTGCATTACTGATTAATTAAAGGTACATTCTTTGTATTTGTTAACTAATCACACGCTTTTTTAACTTTTAATTGATTTGCTCGTATAATACTTAACATATAAATTATTTGTTAATTATTGATAGAGTCTGAGTGATAAAAAAATCATTCAAGACAATACATTGGAAAATATATTGTTGATCTTCTCAGTACCTATTTAAATATTATGTTAAAGGTTCATGCTTATTTTCATTTTTAGAATGACTATGGGAATGACTCCAACCATCTCCAGCAGAACCAGGTTAGTAGTGATTCATTGTTGTAGGTTAATAAGATCAAGTTGTTTCATAATTGAAACAAAAAATAAGCATTGAAAATAGTAAAAAACATACGCTATCTATAAATTTGATCGGTTATTTGTGTTAGTGAACAACCAAAACAAAACTTAAAGAATTAATTTAATGTGGTTTTTTCAGGGTAGAATGAGAGATGGGGAAGAGAATGGTGAACTCGATGAAATGCTACAAATGAATGGAAGAAGACGATAATTTCTTTACCGTAAATTGAATTCATACCATATTACCATAATCAATTCTATTGCCATGTACATATGCTTTTTATGTATCTATATAGTTTTGAATTGTATATTACAATGCAAATACTTCTTGTACATTAATTAGTTCCTATTGTTATACAATTTATCTACCAAAGATTCGGATTGTAAGGGTTATGATCAAACTTATTTTAAGTTTTTGTACACCTGTTCTTTAGGGCCTGTTTGTTATTTTTTACATTGTTTGTTAATTTACTATGACATATCTATGCTAACGCGTCTTTTAGTTATTTATTTTTAAACTTTACTTTTATGGTGGTTTTATCATTTTGTTTTCAAAGAAGTTGATTTTTGTGTTGACCATATGGGAGCGTGTAATAAAATAGGTTCAATGAAATCACTGAATAATCCCTTTAGCTCAAATGGTTGGGTTGACAAAGCATTCTTATCATGCATCTTTTTTATTTTCCCAAGGTGGAAAATCCCAATAACAACACCCCTGCCGCAGCAAACCTACAGACTAAGCGAATTTCCATTCACCTGGCTGGATTTCCACTAAAATCTTCACTTGAGATTGTCAGTTTTATTTTATTTTTGAATAACATTAATTTTTAATGAGTAATTAGTTTTGCTGCTACAAGGGAAGGTAGGCTAATAAGATGTTTTTTTAATGTTGATAGCTTTTTTTCTCAAGACGCTAGGCACGAGCCTGGAATTGTTTTTCACATTACTTCAGGCTAGACCTAGAAGTTGCGGCATTATCACTTGGATAAAATCAATTGATGACTTGGCGGGATTTGAACCTGGGACTTCAGAGACCGAAGTGAACAGTTTATTTATCCTCCATAAGAATAACGAGGGAATTTTTAATTATTTTATTTTATTCTTTTAGCAACCGTTAGGCATACAACGGCTTCAATATACAAGACTAAAATATTATTATAATTTTTTTTTGTTTTGATTTACTTAATAGTTATAGTAAAATTTGATGTTATGGGGGTAAAGAATGGGGAAAACCAATTTCCACCACATAATGAATTATGAAACGTTTGGCAAATATGCTCTAACGTACAATTAATTTCAACAGGAAAAGTTATATATTTTTTAAGTGTCTCTCTACACATTACCTGTTTTCATTTCGTACAAATTATTATGTATCAGATACCACTGTATCTGTTGATGTTTTAATGTTTAAGTTTGTTTAAAAAGTTAAAAAGTATTTTTACTATGACAAATATTACCTACGAACTAGCTTAATTTGTACATACTTTACATGAATTATATAAGCTAAAATACCTGTCTAAAAGTAAATACTGTATCTTATATGTATGATGGATCTGTATAAATTGTAAGTACTTCTGTAATGTTATATTTATTTTTAAAATATATTGCAAATATGTGTGATTTTAGTGTTAGTGGGCTTTTAGTCATAATTATGTCTATGGACTGTCAACTTAAATGGCGTTTATTTCCTTGTTATTGCTGATATAAACCATGAAATATTTTGAACTGAAGACATGCTATTTAAGTTGGATACAAATCTATTGTTTCAGTAAATAGTAATATTTCATGATTTTTTTCTAGTATGTTTGCGGCTATAAACAAAATGTTTTTCATCAAGTATGTTACAATCAAAATATATCATGAAAAAATCTGTTGTAGCATTATTAATTATTAAGATGAGAAATGATTGTGGAAATATAATAAATTTACCTTCCTAAAAGAAACTGTTTTATGTTTTACCATCTTTTCCCATTTTTCCAAAATAAGTACCAGTACTATAAATATCATGATTATGATATGGGAGGGCTGACGGCATATTCAAACCCAAATGATTGGAAAATGAGTGTAATGACCTCCGTAGCCTCGTTACTGGCTGTGATCATCTGTTTCTTTAGCAAGCCAATGAGAAATATATTAAAAATAAACGTTAATGTGAATATGTGATACAATGATTAACCAGATTGAAGGCTTGTCATCACAGCTTGCTTGGTTTGGTTTACATTAGTGGTACTAATCCTGAGCTATTGATGAATACAAACATACTGCTAATTGACATATGGTAATAATGCATATAAGGATTGACTATTGTTTATTTTAATCATTGGCCCTCAAGATGCGTATGTGGTTTCTATTTTTCTTCTTCTTGATAGCTTCAGCGTCAGCCCTGTCTGGCCTTGGAGGTTTTGTAAGTATTTTTACCTTTTTATCATAGAAAAAATGTATATTTCGTACTTAGGGCTAAAAATTAGGTTTTGCTGGCTCGAGATAGTTTTTAAGTTCGAAGTCGAGAACTTAAAACGATCGAGAGCTGGAAAACCATTTCAGTCCGTGGTACGAAAGCTATTATTTACCACACTATACCCTATTACCACTATTTACCACAATAATAATGTAAAAACCTGGTAGGTCCCCAAATGACGATGACAGCTGGCCTAGTTAGCAATATGTAGCTTTCGGTATCCAATGAACGTTTGTAAAACGGCTAATAACATCATAGTGTGGTGAAAAATATATTTTCACCACACTATAATGTTTTTGGTTGTATTACATACGTTAATTGGTGGCTGAAAGTTACATTTTGCTGGCTATGCCAGCTGTCATCGTAATTTGGGGACCGAGCAGGTTTTTACAGGCCGGGGCCGCAAAATCAGCTGTCCGCTTACTTACTTAAAACATGAATGCATTTTAAATACACAATCAAAATCCATAGCATTGCAATAGAATTGTGTTATTGTCACCGTTGCCTAGCAACTATTTATTTTTATTTTTGCTGATTCCTCAAATTATTTCTTCACATAACCTTAAAGTTGTAGTTGTGTTGACTATCAGTGTGCATTATTATAGTGGTAATAGGGTAAATACTTTAATACTTTTTAATACTTTTCTTTGAAATGGCGACCATAAAGTGTGGTGAAAAAAATAGCGTTCGTACCACGGACCGAAATGGTTTTACAGCTCTCGATCGATTTATTATAAACTATTTTATCCATTTTATTTATAAACTATCTCGAGCCGGCAAAACCTCATTTTTGGCCCTAGGTACGAAATATACTATTTTGTCTTCAATTGTGACATTTTGCCCACTAGAATTAGTTTTCAAAACAGCTGACTAAACAGAATGCAAATGGAATTAAGCTAGCCAAATTTTGGGACCAGCAATGACATTGTTTATCCCATTACAACAATAATATGCAGCCACAAAATCATAGCCTCAATGTTGTAATTTTGTAAGAAAAATATAATGTGCAACTTGTGTTCAAGTTCAAAGTGTTTTTTTTTAATTGACAACATTTTTCTCTTTTTAAAAAAAGTGCAACTTACTATTCAGTTACTACTTAGCTATTTTAGTAGTGCTGCACAAACTGCTATTTGAAATACTCTCCATCTTACTTTAGAAAAATAGTAAATTTTCTCATAAATTAACTTTGCAAGTGTACAGTTAGAATTTTTATGATATTGGGAAAACACATTAGTTTGGACGTTATCCATACCTAACTTTATACAACCGTATTTATACCTATCTTTTTTAAGAATTAAGTGTTTCATGTTAATAATGTCTATATTAAGGAAGTTTACATGTTATTTATGTCATACTACATATTTTTCAGTGCAAATCGAATAGTGGTTGTGAAACAAACACGTGCAACGACATTGGAGTGTGTAATGATTATGATGGTTACATAAAGAAAGACAAAAAAAGCTCAACTTCCATGCTGACTGACAAAGCTGTCTACACCCAAAAAGTTTGAATAAACTAGAGAAAAGTTTGAGAAATAAACAAGTCCCAACAAAAGTAGTTAAGGTTTTTTTGTACCACTTCATGGAAATAATCACATTGCCATACCTGTAATCACATACACAGTACCCAAAATAGCTCATTGCCGCTCTAGAGCGGAAATGCTCATTAAATCATCGGATTTCACAGTTGTCGTTTCTACACCAACTGAGGTCCGGTACGTCGTTAACAACCGGTGGGCAAATAACATAAACTTAAATAAGCAAAAATAACATAAATGACATTTTATATACATATAAAAAGTTGATTTTCTTAATACTTAATAATACTTTACTTCTTGAAGTGGCGACCATACGAAGGTAGGAATAGATCATTCCCACTTGATAATCAGCTGATTTCACTGTTGGCGTTTCTACACCAATCACAGCGGTGGATCAGGTACAGTAACAACCGATTAAAAAAGCAAGAAACATAACCTAAATGAAATTTTACATACAACTAAAAAGTTAATCTGTATGCTATGATTAGTTAATTATGGTGGAAGGAAAAATCGTGTGTGTATTACGAGCACAAACAATCATTGCCACTCTCGAAATGTATGGCCACACTCGGCTATAGCTTCGAGCGGCCATCTACACTTCTCGAACGGCAATGACATACTTTGCGCTCTAAATACACAAATAGCTTTGACGAACAAAAATAAACAACATTTTGTTCAATGTTACTGTGATATAACACAGTAACATTCCCTTTGATTTCCCTTTTCAATCTTTTTTCCTATCAATTGTAAGTAAGTTCTCATCATAAAACATTTACATCATAAAAAATCAAAAAACATCAAATAAAAACTTGTATATATTTTACACTGATGAAAAAAAGAAGTTTACTCATAATTACAAAAAAAAAAACAAAAAAAAACACGAGACTTTTTCAAGGTAATGAGAAAAACCAACATAATTCATTCAAACATCTCATTTAATCCGCATCTTACTTTTTATATCACAACATGTCTTGATTTCTCATTCTTAGATATTTACACCTTCGGCAAAACAATTGATTCCTCGTCAAACACATACAGCGACTAAATTAAATTGGTAATATTCTTAACAAAAATCTAAAATAGCTTACATACAATATTTTACATCAGGTATCCTACATATTTTCTGGTGAGTTAGTAGGATTCTAGAGAATTCATTTCCAGCTGCTCAAGAATAATATGTTTCAGACAAAGCTCAAAAACTAAAACAAGGGCTGTTGTCTGATTTTATGTCTTTAAAATAAATTATCTCAGTATAAGTGATACAACAATATAAAGAAGAAATATAAATACCGATTAATAAAATTAAATCAAAGCCTTAAAAGTGATGAATATGTTTGAAATAATGTTATTTTTGTAAAATACTTCAATGATTCTTCATTGTGATGTTAATGATTTCACTAAAACAGTGAAAATTTCACATACATTTTGTACAAAATCACATTTACATCCAAATATTTTTTACAATTTTCCTAGCATTTAATAGATATAGGCTTACGTTATTTTAATCAAAAGATCTTAACCTTAACAGGAATTTTTATATTGGATAAATTGTTAGTATTTTATGATTTTAATTTTAGGAACTTAAAGGATATATGATTCTTTCCATAGATCGTTAGTACATCATTTGTACCTTTAAACCAATAAAGCCAATAGTTATGTGATGATAATTTTTTTGGTATACATATATTAGTGGGGATTGATAAAGAGTGAATCTGTACACTAAAACTTCCATAAAGTCTGTGTAATACAGTAATATTTATAGTAAGTGATATCTTTCAAGTAATTTAATTAATTTTAATATAAGATCCAAAATTATAATTCCATCATGAATTGAGAATGTAATAAGACTATAGGCATTAATAGTTTAAAGTTAGTAAATATTTTCATCATTCAAGACATTCAACCAACACTTCCCTTCAATATGGCATTCTTATTACTGAAGCGTTCTCAATATAACTATTTGCTATTTGATGAAGAAAATTAATTAAATATTTAGGTTACACAAAGATGGTTATTTTAATGAGATCACATGTAAACTGTGCAATCAATAATTTGTAAAAGAAAAAATAAGGTTTCTTGTCAAAGTACAGAATTGTATAAGGACTTCAATGTTAAGAAAAGTTCAGTATTGCAGTTTTAATAGATAAGATTAAAGAGCTTGATTATTTAATATCAAGTTTTTAAGACTTTAAGGTTGAAAAAAAAACTTGTTTCTAATATCATTGCCCAGATAAGTTTGAAAAAAAATCTTTACTGGCGAATCCTACTTTACTATAATCAATATACATGTTTATTATTCTAAACTTTTATTAATTTTACTGAACCATTTCTAATATATTTTTATTTAAATTACAAAATATACCTATTTGGCATTGAAAAATAAGATTTGAGTTGCAGAAAGACTTTGAAAAAAATATACACATATATATATATATATATATATATATTCTAGTTTAGATATTTGATGAGAAAGTTTGTGAGGTACTTGCCAATGAAAGTTCCATATTTAAATTTGTTGACAGAAATATGCATGTGATGATTATTTTTATTTAGGTTGTAAATTTATACAATTTCTCTGTACAATGATATTTTTTACAAGTTTGAATAAAATATTAAAACTGGAAACATACTAAACTTCCAAGAGCTATTATTAAAAATCAAAGATATTGAAAAAGGTTTTATACTGCAATGGCACTGAAATGTATTTTGTTTACTTTGGAATTGATTTTTTAACATCTGTAACAGATACCTTACTTATTTCCTGTCGCTCCTTAACGGGAGCATAGGGCATCGAGAAGAGCTCACAGATACCTTGACACTTTTTAAATGAATGTTGTTCGTTTTAACTAGTCATAAAAGTTAATAAGTAAAAATATAGTTTCGTATATAAAATGTAAACAATATTGGCAGTGTAGAGTGGCAGTTCACATTCCCTCGACTAAAGATAATTTCTGCACCTTTACACAACTTTGTTAATGTTGATCATAGTTGGTTGGTTTATGTATGTCATTGTCAAATACAATTTATCTAAATAAATAAATACAGATTAATTCATCTATGGAATGAAAATCATTTTATACAATTTTTAACAAAGCGTGATCATCCCCTCAACAATAAAATTTTGTTTACCTACAACAACCACGACTGCATTGTTTTATAAAAACAAGCAACCAAATAAAAATAAATATTTAAAACAACCTCACCAATGACAGTTTCAAAAAAGTAATGAAAATGGTTGGTTCTGTCCAAAGTAGTTAAATGGTAACATTTTAATCCCCCATAAAATGTTACACTATCTACGTTTTAAAGAGATGAAAAGTTTGATACCTCGTGAAAGGATATACAGGACATTGTTGAGTTATCAGTTCAAGTTGAAAATTTAAAAACAGTTGACAGCGCAACTTAACAAGAAATAAACTTAAGGCTATCTGGTGGTTGGCCGCTTATCACAGAGGTACCTCTGCGCCGCGCAGCAGTTGCTGATGAAGGATGGCGAGCCGCAGTATTGGTAACCGTAGCGTTGGAGAAACTCGTAACACGACATCCCTCCATTCAATTTTGGATCCTTGTCCACACACTCAGTGTCTTCCACTGCAAAACATGTAAAACACACATTAAACCTTTGAGCTTTGAGGGCTGAAACATATGTGTTGCAAGCATAACATAATCAAACATACCTATGAGTCAAGTTTAGAACAACGTTTTGGTTGATAATTTTTGTCAGTGTGGTAGACCTTTTAGGTGTGATCATAAATTACCGAACTGTCTTAAGACGCTGTCTCTCTGGATAGGAGGGAGACAGCTCTGTAAATTGAGGGTTTAATCCTGTCTCAGTTAGGTATGGTGTGTAACTCCTGGGAGTTCACCTGTCCATGGGGAAGGCCTACCCAAAACAGAGGATGGCTCAGGTAGGAGTTGCTGGGAAGGGTGGATTCTTTGAGAGTTTAGCCGAAAATCAGGCATTTTACTACTTTTTGGTTATTCTTCTGGGTGTATCCACAAAAACTTGTTTTGAAATTGTTTGGAATTTTTGTTTGTAAGATAACGTGTGTAATTAAATCACTGATTAATCTTTAGAGTTCATAGAACCTAAACTATTTAACGCTTAATCAATTAAGAAAGCCCTTTTAACTCAGTTAGTCATAAAGTAATTCTAACTCCAGAGTTTGATAATCTGAAAAATAATGAGGATAGTAGACGAGGCATACCTTTAAATTGTTGACAATAATTTTCTACAATCCTATTATTTCTTTAGCATTTATATCAGTTTATACTAACCATAATCATAATCTCAAAATTGGTTTATATTTTTTTCTTAAACCAAAATACATTTCCATATTTAATTTCTTCAGCTAAATATGCTAACATGCATGGGTGGATATTATTAGTACTGTTATGTCTGATTAGAGATATTCATGTGATTAAATAATTATTAAGTAGTTAGAATTATTAAGTAATATTGGACAGACCCAGGGTAGATAAGAAGTCCTGAAATGCCAAAACATAAAAATACTTACCAGTACCTAAAATCACTGAAACAAAATTAAAGAGCGACAATTAAAACACTTTTGAAGGCCAAAATTGCATGTTTCAATACACATCCACATGCAGAAATTATGATGAGTCACAGAACAAAACATGGTTACAGCTCGAAAAACAGTGAAATTTAGTCACAGAGACAATGAATGGTACACATAAGAAAGTCTGTGTCGTTCATATGAAACTCTGTGGAGATGATGATTACGATGACAGTAATGATGGCGATTTTTCTGATGGATGGTCATGAGTGATATACAGTAATTGAAGAAAGAACAGAACTGGAAGAGAATTAACAGTGCCTTAGTTACATTGAAGCTCCATCGCGTGCTCAGGTTAAAAAAATATCAGTCAAACTTACCACTGGGTATTGAACTTGTATATGGCTGGTATGGGGGCTGTGTAAATTTGTCGTTAAACTTAGTCCAGTAAGGTGTGGTCTTTTGATAATCTTTAGTAGTTTTGAAATAAGAAGGTGTGGTGTACTTTGATTTTCCAAAGTCAGCAAAGTTGTAAGGATTCTTTGTTGTTTTCAGTTTGGAATTACTTAAAGAGTTAGTATATGGTTTAACACCAATGTCATTGTTTGGGTTCTGAGTAACACCTTTGTAGTTGTCGTAATAGTTGTAAGGCGTTGTGTGGTAAGTGGTTGTGCCTGGATTGTAATACGATTCTGTCGTACTCGCAGTTCTCCAAAAATCATCCCACTCCGACCTGATTACACCCACAAACACATATTTACAAGGCAATGATCACAGAAAAAGAACAAAATGAGAAACAACAGCTACTTGAATCTCCTTAGTTAATTTTTTACTTATAGTAAATCTATGAGTTAAGAAAATATAATAAATAACAACATTACACAGCGGAAACATAAACCTAGATTAGATTTTGTTTATCCCTCATTTCAGTACCATTTGCTTTCAAGCTAAACACCTTAGAGCTTTTAAGTAGATCAACTACTTAGCTTGAGATTTTGTCAAAAAGAGTCACTTGATGCTCTAGTGATGAATTATGCTATTTAACTCTATAGTGCAAATTGTTCATCAGTATTCAAAATTATTACCTTTTATTTATTTTTTTCAAGGTGTGTTCATATGTAAAGCTATTTATGAATTTGATGAATGCATGTATGATTGTGCTTTTATCTCTACTGCAGCTACTCATGCATCTACAGAACCAACTCATTATAATACAAATACAATTTTATAAATATCTTGTTTTGTCAGAAATTTTTACATATCAAAATTAACAGACATGGAAATAACTACGGGTAAATGTTTATGACGTTTTTACGTATATTTAAGCATTTTTAGGGCACTTTTTAAAGTAAAAAATTAGTAGTAGCAAAGAAAAAGGGTTTAGAGCCTTCCAAAAACTTAAAATTTATATTGGTGTAGCAAAACACCAAAATATAAAAAAACCATTTTTAGGGCTAATACTATTGTAATTTTACTATTTAAGTTTATTAATAACTATTACTGGAACAAAAACATGCAAGTAACATATTCCTCTGCTAAAATTTACATGAGAGTGAGTTAACATTCAACTTATTACTGAGTGAAAATTTAAAAACGTACGTTTTCAGGAAAAGCACTTTGAAAATTCTTTTCCCCTTTTTTCAAAACTTTTATTATTATTTTTTATTTCATTAACATTTGAAGTTTCATGAAATGTCCATGGTAACGCAATATCTCTGGTAGTTTCTTTTTAAAAGAGCATCTTTAGTTGAAAAACACAAAATCCTGTCACGACCATAACGGATGTTTAAATGAATATTAAAAATAGTTAGTATTATTTTTAAAACTATGTTTTGCTATAAACTAATTTACTTTTATGACCATTATACAATAAAAAGGTCACTGAGCTTTTGGTATATTTGGTCTTTCTAGAAAAAAATAAAAAAACTCAAAAAATTGAAAAAAAGCCAATAAAATCTTTTTAAGTTTGTATAACTCCGAAGAAACTTACCTGAGACCCGAAAAATCGTTATGTTTGTATAGAGGTGTGCTTCTTTTGTGTATAAAACATTGAAATATGACGATATTTTAATTTTTGAAATTTTTATGATAGAAATCATAAACGTGATGGTCAGGGACAAGCAGTACGGTCGTGAATTGTCTGGAATAATCTAAATCTTTCTAAACAATCCTTCAATTATCCTGTTAGTTATAATAAAAATATGTGTTTCAATTGAACTAAACTGTTCAATTTACAATTATATTAAAGTTATTGTCACGACCAAACACACTATAATCCATAATACTGGATTGGTCGTGAAAAAACCTGCGATGGTCGTGAAACTTTGGTCATGAAATTACGTGTTATTTGGCTCTGTTCTGGCGGTAGCCCTGCACCTAATGTTCGAGGATACAAAGTGGACTTCTACGTTAATCTAGCAATTGAAATATCTTATAAACAAAAATTAACACCATGTCTACTTCATCGAATGACTACATACGGTCATGGACACACCAAAATTACAAAAAACACAATCTTTCCTTTATTAATCTTGTAATTCCTCCTTTCAACTCGAAACGACCAGCACTACAATCCTGACGTACACCCCGAACTAGTCTCTAAAACCAACTGACTCCATCGACGCCAGGCTTGCCACTGTCGTGCTCCAAAGTTGAAAACTTTTCCCAAATGGTCGTGACGCCAAATCGAGGGACAGACTTATTTTGTCATGGTAGTCAGTTTGTAATGACAATAAAATTATAATATGCTCCTTTTTTGTAAGTTTAATAACCATTGATGACATAAAAATATGGCTTTATATATTTCGGCATGAATAATTAGTCTAAAAACAGTGTGAAAGTTGGAAAATGTACCCTAGGGACACGTCATGGTCGTGAATTTCGAGACTTTAAAAATACGAAAAAAATACCTAGAACCTATTTAAAACCAAATAAATGTGTGTAACATGTTGCCCCCGTCCCAAAAAATATTAAAACACATAATTATAAACTAAAAATCCAGTATCTACGAATAAAAGGCCAGGGACATGAAAACGTACGTTTTTAAATTTTCACTCTACTCTACCATACACTCTCTACAGAATCGTGCAGTGAAAAACTGGCTTTTCAATAATTACATGCATAAAAAAAACTTAAGGTTTATGCTTCAAAATTTATTTTGGTCACTAACAGCAGTCGTAAATTAAAACACTCTATATTAAACCGGACAGAATTTAACTAAGTATCGTCTTCTGCTGATCCTTATGGATGGTTAATCTTTTTTAAGATCCTTTCACACAGTAAAGTTTTTGCCCTCCGGTTGAAAACCGTACAGTTTTATGCCCTGTCTATGTTTCTTTCACTTCACATTACACAACCGTACATCAAGATGAATGTGTTTGTGTTTACAATGTCACAATAAACATAAACAGTGTCCAATTGACAAGAAAGATTTTATAAAATTAACAAAGTAACAGTTGATCTATTTTCACTGGCTGGTTCAACAACAACAGAACGAGCAGTGTGAAAGCTTGCAATAGAAATATGCCACTGACGCATGGCCATGACACAGCAACTGGTTCAGTGGCAGCGGAAGGCTGCTAGATAGCACGGTTTTCGACCATCGCCGTAAATGTATTGTGTGAAAGCTGTCAGGTTCTTCTTAACATTACGAGGGAAAATTATCTGTACAGTTTTCAACCGTTCAGCAAAACTGCCTCGTGTGAAAGCAACGTAAGTGAGTATGTTTAATCTGTGATATACCTTTGACTATGAATGTAACCAGACATCCCATTTCCATGTTAAAGTTGTAGCCAGTAGCTAGAAAATGAATGTAGTTTAATCAATTCACTGATAGAGTGTGCTTAGCTTAATAATTACAGATTACTTAAAACCACCCCCAACTATCTAAGTGAAACTGACAGGGCAACTTAGTTATAAGCAACAGCTTATTTTATGCCACATAAACTATACTATCACAGTAAAAAAATCCCGAGGGAGAAAATAGAATATAGACCACAGCATACTCTATGAGTGGCTCGTTTTATGTTCTTTTATAATAAAAAGAAGACTACAATTAATTGTAAAGATGGGATGTTTACTTTAGTATCCAAATGTCAATGGTTATACTTCAAGATTCTACTGTGGAAAGCAAGTTGATTCTGTCTCATAGTTTACCTCTGGGTTGTAGAGTTTGGCAGCGCGTAGACCGGACGACTCTGAGTGGCTGCCGTGTTGACGTCGTTCCGCCTCAGGTACGTTGGTGTGTTCTGCGAGTAGTCCGGGATGATGTTCTCATGTTCCGGCATACACATGCCGTTGTTGCACACCTGCGAAATGGAAATTTTTGAAGTTAGTATTGAAAAGTAAACTGTGTTGGCTTTTGGTGGGAAGGGACATCACCAATTGAGATAGTTATTGTTTCTCAACTTAATAATATGTTCGCCAGCACAATATAAAATGGTATTTCCCATTCATGCAGGCATAGGCGTCCAGCAATATGGGCTGGGGGAGGGGGGGGGGGCTCGAGCCATCACTTTGAGACCCTATATGTTTACCACATTTTGCCCAGATTGTGTAATAAAGACGTAAAAGAAAAACATTTTAAAATGGCACAAAAAAATCACTAAATTGACAATGCAAATTTAGGTGCAAAAATCAACAATTTTGCATATAAATTTTAAAACATTTTTATTCTGTACGGACCTCCTAGACTATCAAGTCCTCTTATCGAAAAGTTAGAAAGACGCCCATGCATATAGACCCATGACACATAGACGATAGCGATGGTCATATCTAAATAGACTTGCGACACATATTTTTTGGGGTGTTCCTACGTTGTTATGTTAAGTAGCTAATTTCTTCATGAAGGTCTATTTGAAAGACCTAAGTTTTAGGTCTACTAAATATTTGCAGCACTTGGTCCATGGAAATGAAAAATAATTACGTCATATAACAGTTGTCAAATCTGATTTTACTTAGCTACATCACTGTCCACTTGTCAGTTGTACTCAAACAAGAAAGTCCATTATAACATTATCATCATACTAGTGGTCTATAGGGGCCATAGCCCCTAATTTAGACACAATTTTCCATTTGAAGGCAATTCCCCATTTTGCTGTAGTAAGTCAGAAATATATATCTATGAATTTGTCCCTGAACTTTAAAATAACAGAAAAATAGATTTTCTAAAATTGGTCTGAACGATTTTGATAAAAATGTTGTATGTTATAGTTCTTTAAATTCTGAACAAAATTGTACAAAACCCATTTCCGTATATTTACTCTCACCGCTTACACATGATAAAGGTTGTTGTCAAACTTATGGGAGAAAGTATGTGTCAGAATGCTGATACCGTTTATTTAATTCTTCATCATCCATCTCACAAATCTATTCTCTATTCCAATAAGCTATATATTTTAAAAGTTATAGAGCACAATATTCTATTTTAAATCATTTTATAAGTTTCACAGTTGCAGGATGAATAAGATACCTTATAAAATTATCTTAACTGTCCAGTATTTAAAGTAGATAGTGTGGATTCTTTCAAAACACGTATTAAAAAATATAACCCTCACAATTAAAATACATATTGTTTCATACACCATATGTGATCTTCCATGCAATCACAGCATTACAATTAAATCACTCGTAAACACATTCATTGCTTCTTTTGTTAATAAGTACGGTAAAAATTAAAAAAAAACATTTGAATACAGTATAAAAATAACTCAAAAACTCTTTTTACTACTAAACAAAAGCAAACGATACAAACCGAGCCGTCTCCACATGGTGAACCTTCCGCAGCAGGTCTGTACGCTACGCAGTACCCTGAGCCTGCGTCGAAACAGAACAGCTGTGCGCAAACTCTGTCGTCTTTCTGTATAACAAAACATATTGCGAAATAGTTGTTTTTTATATGATTACGTACACACATTTACAGTTTTCTTTTAAGCTATTTGGGGGAAAAAATCATTTTACTGGGTACTACAAGAGTATTTAAAAAATCAAAATGATTTTTAAATTACAGTATATTCATTCAAAACTATTGTGTTTTTTTTCAAAAGATTAGTAGACAGACTTTCTAGTAGCAAGAACACTAAGTAAATGTTGCGTTACTTATTAATCTTGAAACTTTATTGATCGGCAGGAACTGTATTAACTTTCTATTATCTAGCCACTTACAAAGCAGGCGCTGGTGCCTCGGTCCTTACGACACTGAGCATCCAGAGTCAGTAACTTCCCGGGCAACACTCGAGGCAATGACTCGTCCTCGTGGGGTGAGTTGTAGAGGCACGTAGCCGTGTCTCCACTGAAACATTCAAGCAATTTACTTGTACAGGTACGGTAATCAGCTGTTAACTAGGTTACTGGAACTATTCAGTTGTACCATGGATGAAACATACTCCCTTAGTAGATTTATCATCCTTACGGAACAGCTGAAGACAATTTCATTGTTAGTTCTGTACGGTGTACTGAAGAGGTTGTGTTTTGTTTACAATTTGTTTCTTACTATTTCAGTCATTTAAAACCTCGTTTAGTCAAATAATGCGATCTAATCATAAAAAATAACTCGCCCCCTAGTTATATAACCAAACAGTAAAGCACAAATCAAGAAATTGACTCTAAAGTAATAGAAACAAAATTTTGTCGAAACTAGCGCCCAGTGTCACGTACATGAACTAGATACAAAAAAAACAAAAAACGAGCTTCAAAATTTACAATGGGATGAGCAGTCTACTTGTGTTGCTTAGTCTATGGCTGCACTGGCCACAGTCTTTTGCAAAGCAGCTCAGATAAATTTCACCTGTGTATTCTTTTGTTGCTGAGATGGCCCATTGGCAGTACATTTACTGGAAAAAATGTTATGAGGTTTCTAAAGTAATTTTTTAAATCATAAATTTGAACTGGAGGGAAGAAGCAATATTGGCTATCAAGTTGATGCAGTGGGAAATGCAGACAGTAGTAATGGCTGAACGAGTGGTAGAGACAGATTGAAACGATTCTGCACTGTTTACATCAACAACAAATCCAATCAAGCACAAAGGGTGTAAGTGATCGGAGAGCAGTTTGAAAATCTTAGAGTAAGAATGACCAACCAAGCACTATAAGACCAACTGATTGTACACAGTAAAGTTTAAAAATGAAAATAGAACTGTTATCACATTAAATAAAACACAACACAATTACAACCGGAAAAACATTTTTCCAAACTGCATCATTCCTTAAAGGGTGTAACAAAACCGACACTTCTTAACAAAATATTTTGAGACTACAGCACAGCCATTAATTACATTAAAAATGTTCTCCATAGTACCTAGCCTATTTAAATTACTTTCATACACTGATATATATTAGACTCACTTGAGGAAGTGGTGGAAGGAAGCCACACTACACGGAGACCATTTGAAGCCCTTCTCCGTGTGTCTTAGGTCGCTCATGATGTAGCCGTCCTCCCAGCGACACTTCTCCGCCCCCGGGCCACCCAGGTAGGTTGGGGGTGGCGACCCATCGTGTACTGCCCCCAGTCTGTACAACATGACAACAGAGTTAGAATGAACGATAAAGCAGTCCTGATAACACTGGTTGAATAGACTTAGAAAATCTTGATATTGTATTAGTTTGGTTTACAGTCTGGTTTGGTATGAAAAATAAATAGTTTATTTTGAGAACAACACCTTTATGATGTTATTTTCCCCTGTAATTACACAATCAAATGAAACATAAATTATAGGTACCTCTGTTTTAGTCTTTTAAGATAATGTAACTATCCACCTATGCAAAGGGCAACTAATACAATTCAGATAACAAAACAAAAAAAATCTAAAATCTGTTGAAACCTATGACGTAACATGAATATAATTGAAACCCTTATTATATACAGAATAGTCCAAAAAGAACTAACACATTTTAACATAAACTTTTATTAAGCAAATTCTAACTACATGGTAACATTTAAATATGTTACAGATAGAAAATCTCAAAAAAAGTTTTTGGTGAAATTTAATAAATCTCAATATGGCCACCAATTAAAGGCTATGCCGGCATTAAATCAAAATTTAGCACATCACACACCTTTGCTGCGACATTTCTCGGGGATGGAATTAACATTGCATGGGTAACGCCAGAGCCTTAAACAGTGGCCATATTGAGATTTAATGAAAATCACAAACATTTTTTTAGTTTTTTTACCTGTAAATTTGATCATGTAGGTAGTTCAAATTTTGTAAATGAAAATGTATGTTTATTGTCTCAGTTCTTTTTTGACCACCCTGTCTTTAGTTCAATCTCTTTTTTTTAAGATGCATTAAGTGTCTTAACATTTTGTTGTTTAGATAAATAGATTTACTTTAACAAAATAATAATTTTATACAGGGTGTTCTGGAACCCCTTTGCATCCAAACAAGTACTAAACACACTAGCCAACAAATCTGGGATTTATACTAATTTCTCAATAACTTCATGGTCAACAAGTGTGTTAACAGAAGAGAACAATCAGTATATAATTTTGTGATATCTGTACTCCTTATGCTTCTGCAAACAATTAAAAGAAGGTGATGTTGTTGAACATATTTTTATCCATATGCTTTTACTTACAAATGGCCGACTTCATGGGCAGCAACTATAATCCCTGAGAAACCACCGGTATCTTCTATTATGGCAACACTGTTCACTTTTTCCAGTCTTTTGTTTACCACGCAGGCTCCGCCAACATAGGCAAAACCTAATAATGTCAGGTAGATATTAACAAACTACGTACCGGTTTTTGTATGTAAAAAGACTTATGTTAATTTGTATATATTTATAAGGGATTTAAAGTAAATAAGGTATTATCAGTTAGTTGATAAACACTTTTAAAATTAGTTAAGTTGATGAAATACAGTAAAAATTCAATAATTTACTACCTACACTAATTTACTTATAAGAGTTTAAAAAAAGTATTTCTTTTGAAAAATACAAAGTTTCTGAAACAAAAAATATTCTTAAATTAGTACCTATCTAGGAAATTAATTAATTAATACTATAAATAAATCTACTGTTGTATTGGCCAGTCAAACTGTCATGCATACATGCTTCTAACTAAGCTAAGTACTGCCTACAAAAATCAAGCTAAAAAACCAACGTAAGAACCCATATACCACCTTGATTTCTATGTAGGTACTAAGACCAAGGATAAAAAAATCAAAAGTAAGAAAATTTTTTAATTTTTTTGTAAGGATAAATTTAGCTGAAAAGCTAGGAAAGTCTTGGTCTTAGTACAAAAAGCACTATGTAACTACTCTATGCACCATGTGTTAGTAAGCTACTGAAACCAAGTTACCCATGCATTACACAGGTGTTTTGTCTTATTGAAATGAAAGATTGATGTATATTTCCTTGGTTATTCTTAATATGATAAAAGATTAAAATGGTAGCACCTAATACATACTATCGTTCTTGTTTATGTAAAAATTAACTATTTTAATAGATATATGCAATAACTGTTTTAAAGCTGTAGTATCTCATGGAGGTGTTATGGAAATATTGATTAATTTCTACGAGATTTAATTTCAACAAATCAGCCGGCGATATTTAATAAACCAGCAACTATCAGTCGAACAAAAGTTTGGTCAATTAAATCGATTCAACAGAAAAGTTATTGTTTGAATCAACTCATAGAACATATAGGCAAAAGCACTGCATATCATAAAACAAAATAGGAACCATGTAAAAAAAGAAAATACACACATGTAAGTGATTAGTTTCACACACTGATAAAATATGTCAAATAAACAAGTAAAATATACCAGAAAATTAACAGTTTGCAGCATCCAACTTGGTCATTTTGGATGATGAGCAATACATAATATTAAGGACTCTGAAGCACACAGAACAATGTGATGAACTTACCAGATCATTCAGGCCTATTGGCGAGGGCATGAAAATAGAGGACAGATTATTGAAGAGTCATCAATTGTGAACATTACAACGATGATGAGTGAGTGGTGACAAAAATATGTGATGTTAAATGATCAAATTAGTCGCAAATGGGATGTTGTTGGGAGCACAAAATATTTCAAAGACCTGTGGATTTTCATCAAAATTGGCAGTTAATATGGTTCCCCTCTGAGGACCATCTTTTAAAATTATTTTCACATTGCTTGAATACACTGTAATACAGTAGAACCTCGATAGTTCGACATAGGCATAGTGATGACGTGACATGTTGACAGCAGCCAATGACGGGTTCGCCGAGTTTATAAACTATACCCTTCTTATTGTTTTTGCATGCAAAAACTCAATACAATAACTTATTATTGTATTAATTAATAACAATTTTTTTCAAACATTTAAAGTGAAAAGCAGTAGAATGTTACAAACTATTTTAACAGTAAGCCAAAGAATGTACAGTAAAGATGTTGAGAAATTTGTTTATTTTTGTCAAGTTTTGACTATTCATTAAATTTAGGTATTTGATTTATTTCAGGTTTTAAATAAATGTCCCTGTAAAATAACTAATTTACTCCCTTCATTTCGACATTTCCATAGTTCAACACCCCCTTAGTCCATAAAGTGTCGAACTATCGAGGTTCTAAGGTCAAACGCCCTGTAAACATTTAAAATATTTTTTTTTATAACAGAACCAAATTCAAAACTGAAAATCTTATTATGAGACATAGGATAAATCATACTGTCAGTTTAAATAATAAGATACCAACTTATCATCTGCAAATCTGTAAGTCAAATTTAAGAGAGCAGTAGTTTAGAAAGAAACTCATTAAGTTTTTAATTCAATTACTAATATAGAGTAACCCAGGGGTGCCCAGAGGGGGGGTACCGTGGCGCGTTTGCGCCACAGGAATTTTTGGGGGGGGGACTTTTTTAAAGGGATTTTGGGGGGATATTTAATTTTTGCTAGCTGTCATGATGGCTGTATAGTTTTGTACAAGCAGTCCGAAAAAGTATTTCTCACTAAAAGTAGCTCACTATCAACAACAACAACATTTTGCCGTTCGTAATTAAGATTGCTTCTAAGAATGGTAAAGCACCTTGTCAGACAATCCTTAACATGCCAGTGTCGAATTTTACATGCTACATATGTTTTGTTGGTTTTTTAACGCTCCTTTCACACTATACGATTTCGCTCATGCGGTTATTAATCGTATTTGTTGTATCGCATTGGAGCTTATGGCCCCTTTCACATTATACGATTACCAACCGTGTACGATTTTCACCCGCGTAGCGACCGTAGGTGCACACTGTTGGTATCCGACTCCCGCACGAGTAAAAATCGTGTCTACTGCTAGTGGCCATGTGACCATATGGCCCCTTTCACACTACACGATTGTAGTCGTGCGGGAGCCCTCCCCAAGTACAGTTTGTTGCGTATAGTTTTCAGATATTTTGCGTTTACAGTTGTTTAATTGTTTAATTATTGAGTTGAACTACCTGTGCATACCGTATTTTATTATTTAGTTTTCGTTATTAATTACAGTTTTGTCTATATAGTTAAAATCATGAATGTGATTGATCTTGAAGCTTTAAACGATTCTCTTGAAATCCGAATATAGTTGAAAAACTTTTCTTCGTAATTTCTCAGGTCTTGAAGTAATGTTTTAAACATCCCCACTTCCTCACGTCTCAAATTTAAATACGACTATTATTAAATTTATTTTTCTCCTATAAATTATCAAAGTAGCAATTATTTCCTCGCGATCCATACTACTTAAAACTTTCCACTGAAATGTCAATGAACTCTGTTCTAGTGGAGTGGGGGTTAAGATTTTTTTAATCGTACGATTACAAATCGTATAGTGTGAAAGCAACAGACCCACGATCATCTGCCCGTACGATTAACACTCGTACGAGCGAAATCGTATAGTGTGAAAGGAGCGTAACTCCAGCATAGTCAGGATTTACAAAAGATCCCCTTCTGGAGGTGTCGTCAGAATACGTTACAAACATTTAACACAAAACACGAAATGATTACAGATAGGCCTATCACGCGTGTACATTGCCGTCGGCAAGACTGGAATTAAACTGAATCGGGTTCAGGTTATGACGGACCGACGTGGTCTCTGGATTGTCGTCTGCGTTGTCAACAGCTGATATTGGACTATTGTAGTGACTGAGAAGAGTATTGAAAATATAATGGGATATACAAATTTTGTGCTGTCCCAATTTTATGTATTCATATATTTCAAACTCCTCAAAGTATTTAATAAATTTCCTTTCGTGCAGTACTGTAGAATTTCGAGACCATCATATCCAGCATATAAATTGGTTATTATTGTCAATAGTTTTGAATGGAAAACTCAATTATGAATCCCATTATATTTTCAACATACTTTCCTCTGTCACTACAATTAGCCCAATATCAGCTTTTGATAACTTAGACGAGAATCCAGAGACCACGTCTTTCCGTCATAATCTGATTCAGTTTACTTCCAGTCCTGCCCGCGGCAATATACACGCGAGAATTGATAGGCCTATCTGTTATCGTTTCGTGTTTTGTGTACAAACGGATTGTCTGACAAGATGCGTTCCTACCATTTTAGTCATAAAAGGCAATCCTGGGGCTATAAAAATGAATTATAAGATTACTTCGTCACAAAAACCTTTTGTTCTAAAGGCATGGTATTTTGCCCGGCGATTTTTGTAGAAGGCAGCCTGCAGTGGCGAGCAACAATAGTCTGACTTATTTCGTGACTCTGCCTATAATTTTGAAACAATTAAGATACTTTTTGCCAGTATTATTAATACACTTAAAGCTGTTTGAATTCTTAAGCCCTCTAAACATTAATGCCACCTAATATATTGTACAGTTACAGTACTGTGTTGGAGTAGAGTAATTCACCGAGTATATTGTTGAACGTGTTGAAGACTTTGTCTATTGCAATACTGAGCACATGTTGGCTGACAACAAATTCGGAATTTTGTAAATTGAAAAACTTCTAATTCAACCATTAGTTAGATATGTATTGTTAAATGACGTTTCCTATTAAACATTTAATTTTGATTCTCAATCAGCAAGTTTGTTTTTTGTACCTCAAGTTTACTAAATACTTTAAATACTCGTTTTATGAGGTAAAGGGAAAATTGTCAGATAAATTGGTGGGGGGAGGGTAGGTTTAAATAGACGACAACATAAATTGGGGGACTACTCCTTTGGCTTGGGGGGGGGGGGATTGCGCCTCTGGGTTTAGGGGGGATGGGCACCTCTGGAGTAACCTCTGGATAGAATTTTGAATTTTTTATTTCTTTACATGAAAATGCGTAACTGTTTAAAATTATGGTACTGTTTTCACTTATTGATGGGTTAAAAACTAGGAAAAGAAAAACTGTTATATGAGTAAAGACTAAAGTGCTTTTCATTTCACAGATTTCACATGGGATTTTACATTTAAGTAATTTACTACGGATGTCAAATTAATAACCAATCAAGTTTTCCATGGACATTCAAACTGTTATAAACAAGACACCCTTTAAATTTAAACATCTTGATGATTTTCAGCCTCAAAATCGTCATACGATGTATGATGCAGTTGTGGAAAAATCATTAAGACATGGACAAATGTCTCATTTACATTTTTTAGTGGAATTACTGTCTTCCATGGACGATATAATTTACTCTAAGAGGAACTGCTGTAAAAAGGTAATATATTAGGATGAATATGTAATGAAATGATAAGAGTGAACTTCAACAGGGTGCTTGAAGCTTGTGATAACAACGATTACTCAGCGATACGGTGCAAATGTTGGCAACAGTGCGAAGTGTCCGGAGTAAGAGGGTAAGCAAAAGTCACTTGCAAAGTCATTAGTCCAGCTGTCATGAGTAATGGATATATGAGTGTTAACTGAATGGTTGACAGTAGGACAGACATTGAAGAACACACAATTTAAAGTAACAGTCAGCAAGATTGTTTAGTAACAGTTTTAGTTTGGGAGACACAGGACCCACAACAATATTTGGGAGGGATGAAATATTTTTTAATATAAAAATTGAAAGTTGATGTGATAATTTTATATAATATTGAGTTTTATGTTTGAAAATGTTTAAAGTGTTTGAAAATTTCTTATTTTATCACTGATATGGTTTTATTGTTGAAATGTGTATGAATGTTTGGTCTCAAACAGGTTTACAGTAAAAAGTTGGAGATAGTTTTAAAACTATTTTGTATGGAATCTTTTTTGATAAATTGATTCAAAATTGGTTTCCAACTAATGGTAAACATACAGTTAACTCTCACTTACTCAAAATACAAGGGGAGATTATTTGAGTTACAAGGAATTTAATTAATTTTAAAATTGAATTAAAGAGGTAATTTTCTATTAAATTTGATTTACAAACAACAATAATAGTAAGCGTGTCTCTAATAATATCTTTTAACCTAGCATTTTGCTTTTGCACATGGGTACCGTACAACAATAAACTGCTGATCGTTATTATTGGCGTATTTGCCAAAAGACATCACTGCCTGAACCTTGAGACAAAACTGGCACACATATGAGCCTTTACATATATAATGTAAATTTTGTTTTATCTGTTTTGTTGCTATTATGTTTCCTCATGTTGCATGGAGTTTAATATTCATAGAGACATTTTAGTTTAAGTAAAAATAAATCCAAATTAAAATTGTCAGGTGAAAAAGAAGATAACAACTGATGGTTGTTAGTTATGAATCATCTGAAAGTCTAGTGGTTCAGCATAGCTGGCAGGAACTTTGGTGGTCTTTGGAGGACAGTGAAGTAAGGAAGAACATGGTCAGTAAAGTCATGGTCAAGGGGGAAGAATTTGTGCAAGTGCGTAGTTAAGGACCTACCTGCAGTCCCCCTGTTGCAAACCTCATTCGGGTAATTGCGTCGACACATGTCTAATCTGCAAATAACAATATATAATTTATTTCTAGTCAAACTTGAGTTTGCACAACCTGAACGAATTCATAACTGCATCCGTCCGATGATCATTTCTGTTTCTGTTGCTGGGAATACCTCGGTAGAAGTCGTGAGTTGCTGGGTAGACCTATTCTAAACCGAGAAGAGCCAGACTAGGATATTTATGATTTTAAGTTCACAGTTTCCTTTTTCATTTTAAAGTTGGACTATTAAAGTTTGTAGGGGTGAAACTTGCGAATAAAGTCTAAAGCCTTGAATGAATTAAGAAAATATAAGCTATAAGTAAATTAGTTACGTTCATAAGCTAACCAATATAAAAAAAAAATTGATAGTAATTCAAACGTTTAGTTGGTACCCGTAAGTCTCATTTTATTTAAAAGTGTTACCCGGTATGTCGAGAAAATATTTTTTTAAATATTCACTCAATCTAAAATGTCAGTTATTTGTGAAAAATGAGCATACTATGGGTTGTATCTAGTTATTGTTATATATTCTACTTGTTTAATGAAAATTGAATGGTAGACTCAAATACACAATTATTTAAATGTTAAAATCTACATAGGCGAGGTTGAAATGTGTTACACAAAGTAATAAGTTAGTTTTTTAATCTAATCTATATAGAATAAAATCATCTAAATTATAAGTTTTCTCTTTATCCGATTTCCTACAATCTAGATTTCAAATATTTAATCTATAAAGGTTAACACCAACCATCCTACTTCATAACCATCCCTTGTACAATGTATTAGTTCACCCTGTTATCTCAGTTGAAAAATTCACTCTCAAGCACAATAGGATACCGTGATTGAGTAAAGATAGTTTTATGCAAAATGAAAACGCATACGTTAACAGAATGTTGTAAAAACCTGTATACTTTTGATTATTGAGTATACTATTGACTTTAAAACTGAATTTTAAAACTGAGATAAGCTTTGGAAAATGTTTTCAACAACAGATCAATCATTATGTTTTATTACATCTAGAACCAAAAATTACGTCAACAATGGAATTGATCATCTGTTCTTCAAAGGTGAAGAACAACAATACATGACACAAATATTTTGATTATTGGGTTTTATAGAACCAAAACAAACGACAACAATGGATTGATCGGTTGTTTCAAACTGCCCCAGCACACACACATGTAGGCTATGTACACCATTTGTATGTACAAGCGTACGTAACGTACGAGTCGTGGACGTAACGTACCGGCTGTGCCCTTCGTACAACGTCCACCCTTGCGTCTCCTGCACATGTCATACCTGGCCACAACATATCTTGTCAACATCCGTTACAACCACTTCACACTACTTTGGTGTACAGCTTATGACCAGATCAGAATTTATTGAAAAGCACATAACTCACTTTTAGCATAGATTAAAAGATGTCTATACTCCTTTTATCTATGCTTTTAGTGAAACAAATAGAATTAACTTGTTGACTGTACAGTAAGAGGATACTGGGACTTTAAAATTATTAGTAAAAAAATCAAATAGAATGTATGAGTTTCAAAGAAAGCAATATGCTGTAACAAATAAACATATAGGAAAAAATCCTGTACTGGTTAAAAAGTCTTGCCATGGATACAAAAGTCTTGCTATTCGTTTTCATATTTTATTCATAGTTTTAACCCCCATTCAATCATTAGAATAAAAACCTCTCATATAGTAAGTTATTAAAACGTTTTTGGAATGTTTTGAAACAGATTGAGTGTAACTTAGGTTGTTGTAAGGTAGGATAGACCATCTAGGGAACCACCTGTAGAGTTTTGTTGTTGTTTTTGTTCAAATAGATTATAGTTGAAATACCTCTCACAGAGTGAGCTGTTGTCAAAGTTATACTCTTTTAGTTTTCAAGTATATAAAGTACAGTTTGAAGACCTTGGTGTTTAACAAATAATTGATCCACAACATTGACATAAATTATAGTAATTAACAGAAGCACAATACATGTTAACTCAATTAGACTACGTTCATTTTTATTCTGAAACTGACTACAACTTTGAAGTTAAATTTGTCTAGTTTTCTAGTCAAAGGTATCACTAAACTTACTTCATGAAATGACAGTAAAACACTTTTTATCAATATAAACTTAACATTGTAAAAAATGGTATAAAAAAGTTAAATTGCTTACTTGGTTACTGCTACTGCAATATCGTAAACCGGCAGCCGCCTCTCTCTGAAGAGATACTTGCCCATGTCCGTGAGTGCGGCTGCCGAGTCAATGGCGTCTCGCCCGACCCTGTTGCGCTCTAAATATGGCGTTGCATCTCTCCCCTTTAAAACAGGAACATTTTTTAAAGAATGAATTTTTACATCCTTAACCAAATTTAGAAGTAACAGAGTGGTAGAAGACTGAAAAATGTGGAGACGGTAATGTTGGTGAGGCCAGAAACCAATTTGGTTTCCAATGGCCACAAGAGTGTAATGAAGTAACCAAATTAATTTGAAGTCTTGTAAAACATTGTCACGAGATATAAATTGTCTTGAACAATTTTGTGTGACAGTCCTAGATAGTTTGATGGTCCTAGAATTCAAATTTAAACTAATTTATTTGTTTTGCAAAACATAGAACACTAGATGCTATACATGTGCTTTGCATAAGGTTATATAAACATTGACTTTCAATAACACAATTATTTTTGGCTTATCATCGTATTTTTAAATAAGAAGCTTGTTGCGAAGTGTGTTTCAAATTGGTTTCAGTTTGAGTTAATTATTGCAGATTTTTATTTACTTAAAATACCACAGGCCCCACAGGGTAAGCAATAGTTTAGTTATGAATAATTTTAGTGATTAAAATTGTTTTTAAGTCGGTACAAATAACAACAAATAAATATAGTAAACGTCACATAATCACTTTACATAAACCGGATGGACACATACAGTACCTCAAACTAGTCTTTTGTACGTCTATAAGGATGATAATTCTACAAGAAGAGTTTATTTATTTTTGGCACAACATTATACACTTCACCAAGTGTTTCTTATATATTTTGGCAACCAAACGTGAAAACTAAGTCATGATTAATTAATTATTACACTCCGTAATGTTTAAAAGTTGAATTACAAGCTAAAAATTCAACAAAGCTTAACACTTACCCTTGATATTATAATTCCAGCGATGCTTATTCGTATTTTGGGACCCTTTAATAATTTATATCTCATATCTACTCCATTCCAAAATGAAACAAAATATCTTTTGATTTGAACATTGTTTCCACCGTGTAACCTGCAACAAAATATTTTTTTGATTTGAACATTTGTTTCCACATTATAACATATAACAAAATATCTCTTCACTCCTCACAGTTTATTGTTGAAAAATTGCTATACTTATGCTCCTCACAGTGACGTGACACTGCTCTGTTTTACCAAATAATGTTAACTTCTAAAAGTTAAGTTTACTCTAAATTTTTAAATGAATAATTTATGAATAACCACAACATTTACTTTAAAGAGTTCTAAAATCATGCTACAAAGCTTAAAAGGAATTCCCTAGTATTTTTTGGCTTACTTAAGTTATAACAGCTCCTGTAGATGAGAGATACAGATCTTCTCAGCTATGAGAAGATTTTCTTCTGATTTTTGATACAAATATAATGTCATATGAAACTGTACTTAGATGTTACTGATCATTGGATTTTTATAAATACTCCTGATTAGCTGAAAAACAACTGATATTCTTCAGTAAAAATCTACAAAGATCACTTTATGAATCCATAAACAGAAACATAACAAGTAAAACACTCACCTGTATCCATCATAATCTACAATGACTAAAATTTCTGGGTAGATCACATAAGGTGCTTCTCTTTTGTTTATAGATCTTTTACTTCTGTGCTTTTGTGGTACTTCATCTGGTTCCATGAATGCTATAACAGAAAATGTTGATATTTTAATTGATACGGTTTCAAATGTTCTCTATTTTTTTTAAATTAATTAACTGAATATACCTCTGTCACTCCACCAAAATGTTATGGTTTTAGGATATTGCAGTGTTATGCTGAGATTAAAAACTTAGGAGTTAAACCATCTATTAAAAAGGTGAAATTTATTAATTAAATTTGTAATCTTGCCAGGGGGGTACAGTTTACGATTAGACAATTTCTCTAAAGAGAAGTTGGCATTATCATAGCATGACCTAGGTCCAAAACCACTATTATCAAAAAACATGTTTTTTGGTTAAAAAAGTCTACCAATTATATTATACAGGCCTAATATACCAGGTGTATCCCACTATAACTTCGGGATAAAAAACCTGGCATCCTGTGCCTTTCCGTTACATTAAGTTTATTTAATGCCTTTTTTACTCTTAAATGAGTGCAAAATCAAAGACGAATTGTAGATTTGTCATTCAAATAAACATCGGAACTGGCAAAAAATTCTGTACTACGCTTTTGGTTAGTATCACGCTAAAATGAGATGTAGCTAGAAAACTCCTAAAAATTTTAATACATTGTATCACATTTTTTTAAATCAGCACTATTAGTTAATGGACAATGTCTAGGTAAGATAAAAATCCATTCAACGATTTCTTGGTAGAGATAGGGCAACCTCCAATCAAAATTAAAAGAAAAATATTTCTGCTAGGGCAATCACATTGAATCAACAAGTTTCTGGGTTCTGCTAATAAGGTTAATAAATAAGGTGCTAATAAGGTAAAACTAAGAAGCCTTGCGAAAACAAAACAAAATATTTGGTTGGTTTAGGTGAATGATGGAAGCGTGTGGTTAAACCGTGTTTCATAAATTCTAAGAAAAATCTTAAATGATCTGACCATAATCACTCATATCCATGGAGTCCTGTACACTCCGCCTGTAGACAATGTGGTGATGTCTTGGGCCGAGGTGGAGGGGGAAGCCGTCTGTCACAGCCACGTCCTCGGCTGCTTCCTCGTCCAGGAATGCCTCGTCGTCCACATCCTTCGCCTCAGGGTCCGGCCTGGAGTCTAGGTGTTGCCTCACACTAGCAGGAACAGGCTTCACCACTAGGTCCTCGCCTATCGTCCCCTCCTGAAGAAAGAAGGCGTTAGTTAGTAAAAAACTTTGTGTGTTTAGTCCGCCTTTTATCATGTTTACCTATTGCATTGTGTGAAATTTGAAGCCCAAATTGCTGGAAAAGGGTATAATTTTAGCCTTTAAACAACAGTTTATGCATCTGTTTCAAGTTTTTTATGCAGTAGTTTTTACACGTATAATGCATTTTTAATACTCTATCTCGCTTAGTTTTATGAATGTACTGGCATTGATTAAAGTATATCATAACATTTTAAACCATCTGATCCAAACATTAGTAGGATATGAAGATGAAATATATTATACTCTTGCCAGGAGCACAGCCAAGTCCAGTGATACCTCTTTGGTTTGAGTAACTATCTCTATGGAGAAATAGTTATTACGTGCACAAGTTGAGCATTTTAATAGGGTTCAAAACTTGTTTCTGAAACAAAATTAGTCAAATGCAATATCCTTTTACCTTTCAAATATTATTGTTAGGGATAGTTAGGTGATAAACCAATCGTGAAACTCTTACTTCAACTAAAGTTTTCACAGCTTACATTTTGTATCCATCCAGAAGACTTTGGTACACCTAAGTTCTTTATTCCAAACAACATATAATGGTATAATTTTGACCATAAATTATGAAAAAAAACATTTTTTTACAAAGTTTCAAACATGTATTCACGAAGCTACTTACAAATCTAACAAACAACTGCAAGTTCTTTACAAACAAACAGACCACTGTCAAAGTGGCTTTCTCAATATTATCATTAAATATGTGAAAAGTATTTATTAATTGTTAGGTTAGAACACATTAAAAACATGTCTGATTTAGTCATTAAATCATTAAAGTAAATTGGTATTTTATTCCAAAGTGGTAAACAGCAAGGTAATGTAGTTGTAGCGGTGTACATCACTAATTAACCACAATCTAACATTTTATCGAATCAAATTCTTTACCTGTTTTATGAAGTAAGAAACACTAAGTCATGAAAATTAGTGCTCTAAAGCGTTATTAAATAATCAAGTCCACAGATCTGCAAGTTATGCAAGCTTAGCCTTGAACTTCTCCTGTACTTTCTAACTACAAGAGTGCCCTTGAAGTAACTTGATGCTCATCTTATAAATCGAAACTTGGACTAAGATCCGGGAGCATTACACTAACAACTCAAGCATATATCACTGAATCATTATATATCACCGTGTATAAGGACTGGAGTACTATACTGAATCATGATCAAATGATTTCTATGAATATCTGATTCTGATCGATTTCCTAATAATGATTAGACACCTAATCCGCCTTCTACAACTTTTAATAGTTATATAAAATCTATTTAAAAAATAATGCCGGTACAATTTTTGGGAGCATTATAATGAGGTTAAAATACAGGTAAAAAAACACTCACAGTCCTAAATTATTTTAAGTGATGGGGTTACTTCGGATTACTTTAATTTATTTATAATCCCTTGTCCAATATTTATATTCTCCTAATAAACTAGAACTCTATGGTATAACTAGTTAAAACCAATTAAAAATATATTGTACAATTTCCATTAGCATCGATTTTAAGTTTTGGCTCCTTCATTCTTACAGAGTGTATAAGCTATGCATTAATGAAGAGATTGTACGTTTACATTTTCGAAGGAGCCAATTATATTCGCAAGGAAATAAAACATCATAAAGATAAACTCATGTAAAATTTCGTTGCTCAAAGATGGAAATGAATGGAAAAATATTAGGCTTGACGTCCAATATCTGAAGCAGCAAATGACATACACACGGAAAAGTTACTTTACATATACACACATCATACAATTGTCTTTAACTTATCCATAAGAATGGTAAATCTAAATACCCCCGCCGCAGCAAACCTACCGACTAAGCGAATTTCCATTTGTCTGAATCGATTTTCAGTTAAATGCCTATATTTTAATAACATTAGGTTTAACGAGTACCTAGGTTTGCTGCTACAAGGAAACTAATAAAGTGTGTTTTTGAGTAAAATATTGATAGCTTAGTACAAAATAAATAAATTTGCCAAGTTTGATCAAAATCTTACTAATATTATAAATGTGAAAGTTTGTGTGTTTGTTTGTTTGTTTGTTTGTTTGTTTGTTTGTTTGTTTGAAGGTCAATCACGCTTTAACTACTGGACGGATTGGGCTGAAATTTGGCATGATGATAGCTCATATTCCCGATTAACATATAGGCATATTCTTAACTCAAAAATCCTTTCGGGCTCCGCCCCAGTGGCTCTGTAGTTTCCCATGTTAAACTTATGAGTATTCATAATTTAAAGGGAATTAAAGAATTTAGTCAGCTGTTTCAACTAAAAAAGTTGGTTCTATGATATGCAAAAGTATTAAAAAGTTATAAGATTTACCAACAGGGTGCAGCACTATTTTTTTGCATTTATGAAAACACCTAATTTGAACTAAGCACAACGAAAAACTGTGATAGGCAATGAGAACTGTCAAAGTAGGATTGTTTACAGTTATGTTGATGTTTTTAATTGCATGAAAAAATTGTGATATTTTGCGAAAAACTGTGTCCTCCCCTATTGCGAACGCTAAGTTGGAGTATAACTGCAATAAGCATTTTACACTTATATGCCAACCCCGTACGAAGGACGGGTACTCTACTAGTATATCCATAAACAAGCAAACTACAACATTTGACAATATTCTCCATAAGAATAACATGGGAATTTTAAATTTACAATTTTTTAATTTTCTCCGTTACTAATAATCGAACAAAAATACTTTTATATACTAAATTATTTGTTTTTTTAAGCTCTTTAAAAAGGTCTAAAGAGAAATCGGGAAATTTTGTGTTTTGAGGGTCAAAAGTGAGAAAACCCAATTTTTACCCCATAAAACCCCCCGTAAAGCCCTGTTCCCATGGTCCGATCGTGCTGGTTCGCGAACTCATTCAAGTTTATCCCGCTTTACACCTTTAAACCAAATTTCATCAAAATCGGACAAAAATTACTCAAGTTATCGCGTTCACGGACGTATATATATAAAACATTACACGTTACATATATAACGTTACATATATAAAAATTTGAACGAATGGTGTTTTTGGCCTCTGGGGACATCAAAATGAAAAAGTAAATCGGTCCCGGGTCTAGGTCTTACCGTGCCACCTACGGTAATAGCTACTTCCCTATAGGGAAATTCGCTAAAAGAGGGACAGTATGTTCATTCTCCAGTAGTCCTACTATATAATATACGTACCAGTAGTAGTGAATTATCTCCAGGATCTCTATGTAGTAAAATCGCAGCTTGCCTTAGCTCGTCCTGGTACGGGTGGCCAATGTCCTCCTGGAAATTAAATATATATATTTTCAACATTTTTGAAAAAATGACTACTTTTTAATACACCTATGATAGTTTAAAAAACTAAAACCATTGTCGGTCTTAATGAGTCAAAAGTTCAAACATAAAGTATAAACATTGGAGGACAATATCATTCAGAAGCATGGATACAAACACTTCAACACTTCAAGGAGACAAATATTTACTAAATATAACTGTTTATTACGATTTTTTAAAATGGAAATGGAATTATGAACGTACGCTTTACTGATGGGATTTAATGCAATTTTTGAGTGGATAGTGGGCTCTTAATGAAAATATAATACACACTTTCAAAATCGTCAAAACAGTAATTTTTAGTCTTAAATTTAGCTGTTTGTGATAAAGACCAACTGGAAATACGTCGTCTACCTAACTAAGGAACGTAAACATGTATTATTTTAGATTACTTGTTTACTCTTCTTCCTATGAAATAAAATTACCCGGTAATTTTACCGAAAACTTTCCCAAGTACACGAATTTTCACTCTCAAAATTCACCTAACTCGGTTGAGTTTGATTATGATTTCAAATGTCATGAATTGTTTAAAACGGTACTCAACCAACATCATTCGATTTTTAGAGCACAAAACCCCTGATTTCAACCACATCCTACCATAACACCATCACGACGACAAATGAACAGATGTTGAGGGGCTGATTGTTTATTGTACAAAAATAATATTGTAACTTCCACAATTCCAAAAGTTCGCGAAAAGCAGTTCATGATACACAAACGAATTATTAAAACCCAACCAGCTGTTTCTTTAGCCAGCCCAATGATCAAGGTCAGCTGTGCCCAGTTTCAAACCATCAAAAAGTGAAGTGTGTTGTAAAGTCGGGTGTGTTGCTAGGCCAGTGGTTAGCGTCTCAGACTTCAGTACGAGAGGGATGGGTTTGTTTAAAACATTAGGGTTTGGTCCGCTTGCTCCTACAGCGTTTGTATTGCCGTTGCCGTACAGTGTACCTAACCTAACTTGAAACTGCCGCAGGTGTATGCAATATACAAAACAGAACTACAGACTTTTGCCATGTTCTACACCATTCTCCTTTGATTACACAAACTCCAAACCCCATCACATCCTACAACGGCGACAGGTGAGATGCGACGGTGATGTGAACGCGCGGTCGTGACGAACGCGTGGGTGTGTAAACGCGGAAACGTCTCCGACCTTTTTTAATCCCCATAAACGACAGAAGGCTCAATTACTCGGCGAAGACGCGCACGATTTCGCGCGATCGGTCATTACAATAACATGAGGCGTTGCACGCATCAGTGATGCAATGTGTAACCATGTAACCCTCCATGAGTCCCGCAGGTCGAGGTGTACTAGACAATCTCGCATCTCCACGTTCACTTTTACTGCCAGTGCTAACACCTCGTCCATGTCAAATGAGGTTGAAGTTTACAATCACGTCGATATGTTGTTCTGTAGATATGAGGTGGAATTGTTTTACCTTCTCTAGATTCCCCCAAGAGTAACGATAGTGCACGGTGAAGTGTGATACTGCTCGCACAGGTCGCCGGAATGGTATCCCCCTGCAACGTATTCTGTTATCGTAGGGAGGCAAAAAATAACAGATTTCCTCGTTAGCGCAAGTTTGATTGCGAGAGATCCTACTAGAGGAAGCTGGTTTGGTGAACCTAACCCAACCCTGCTGAATCATCTTCTCTCGGTCGCGAGAATAGCTACGAAGTCATCCAGAAGCTGTCTCAAAGATTCAAGAATGTTATAATTTAGGGTTTTAAGATAATACTTTGATATTGCTATCTCTTCGGGTATCATGTAAACCCTACATAGAATCTACTGTAGAGGTTAAAGCTGATTAAACCCGACTTTCTCAACTAAAATTTAACCTTCCCAGTCCAGAAAGGTGATCACAGAATAGTTAACGAAGAAGAGTCACTCTCGAGAATAGAGATAATTGGGGAGATAGAAAATTCTTACAACTGTACGGATCCATTGTGATGCAATTTTACATCTCAATCTGAACCTAAACATTTTGAACCACACTTCGATTTGTGGTATCGTAATGACGACAGTAAACAAACGGGTTGCTACATCACAGACTTTATGACATTGTGGGCGTCGTCGGGCGGAAAGTTGATAAAACGACGGTCGTTTGTATTGGCCATAATAGAAGGGTGTGGTCAACGTATAAAATGACAATAAAATGCACTTTTTGTTAAATATTAAATTTTAAGTAGATTTAAGTTGTTTGATATTCAAACTTTAAAAAAATCATAAAAATCACAAGGGTGGACGTTTACAAATTTCTTTACCTAATTATTGGTAATAATTTGGCTTGCGATCTTTATTTACCCACCCTATTTTCACCTTAGTTGATAAAATGTCTTGTTGAAAAGTTTAACAAAGTAGATGACTACTTAATAACAGCATATGATTAACACCATACTTGGAGAATAATTGTTTCAATATTTTATCCCACGAACTAAAGTCTACGAGCTATGAAAGAAGCTCACATAGACAACTGGATAAAATTTTCGTTCATGATATAACTCTGTTCCTGTGGAAGGTGGAAGCTTAAGGAAAACAACCGAACGACAACAGGGCAAAAACCAACATCACAAAAAATTGAGATAAGTTAACCCAGCGAACCCAGGAAGATAACCAAAATAGCCCTTTTTAATCGATTCGGAAACTTCCTTTTGGTATCCTTTGGCAATGGAAAGCAATTGAGACAAAAAAAAACTCCTTCGTAACGCTGAGGAGCCATGGCTTATTGATTATCCTCCATAATACTTCGGGGTCATGGGGACCCTAAACCTTCAGGGAAAGGTGGTTTTGTAGCAGTGGTTTAATTGATTTAGTTCGTTGTAATCCCAATGGCTTTGCAACCTCCATCAAAACAAAGAGATGCCATGGAGTATTCGTTGTAGAACCATTAATAAGTACATGTTAGTACTCTGTGGTCTTAGAGGGATCATGGAAAACCCCTGCGGGTCTATGCTGAGGAACCATGGATTATTTTCTATAGTACTCTGTACTCTTGAAGGTTTCAAGTTTCAATTCCTTCTTTTTTTTATAAAAACACTGTGGAACCAAGGACCATCCAATGTATTACCATGGACTTGTGAATTATAGTCCTCTAAGTCTTGGGGGTCCATGAAGGTCCATGAAACCTCATTTAAAATGCTGGTGTATCATGGACTATCCACTGATTACTAAATAGTAGCTTGTTCCATAGACTAAAGAGAATCACAAGACTTATATTTCCTTAGTCAATGCTTGTACTCTCACTCTCAGAACTATGACACCTCATTTACAACTTTGGTTGATCCTATTTAGTACTTCTTAGTATAAAGTAATACTTCGTAAAGCCGAAGAACAATGGACGATCTACCATTGTAGTTCTCACCACCACGTTAAACCTTCTAGTACAAATGTCTTAGAGATGCTGGGAGCCGTTGCAGTATTGGATGTAATTAATTCAACACTCTCTGTAGAAAATTACGGAAACTGCTCTGTATTCCCGCTGGATGCTGATGGACCGTTGAACCTCCTCCACGACTATTGTCTAGCATGCGACCTGCCTCAAGTCGATTTACGTCTCATTGAAGCGTATCTCGAGATCTCACCAGCGACAATTACAATTGTTTACCACGACCCCGCGATACGGAAGAGATTGGCGGGATCTTCTTGGTGTGTGGCCGGGTTTGATTTGCAGCATAGCTGTCTTGCTACGGATGATTATATACCTAAATAATGAATATTGTAAACATAAACATCTATATCAATGACAATACCGTTTTGCCTGTACAATAAGTAGAATCATAACCATTTTAAATTCCATTAAAGATACCAGAAAAGAGCATCTCTATTTTTGTCCGTCTATCTTTTTGTGAGTTTGTCGAGGACGCCCAAGACGACCATTCACACTGCCTTCTTCGGGAAAACTAGAGCATACCAATGTAAAACTCCCTTTCGTGTATTTAGAATTTACTGTATTATTTTTTTTTATCCTTGGCTATTTAATCCTGGTCTAACCTTTTTGTAAATAAAATAATGAATGTTCAAAAACTCAGTTTAGTGCGACAATGATCTCATTTTTTTGGGTTTTATACGTTTAATTACTGATTCAACTGCGTTTAGATTCAACTGCTTTTCCTACCATAAGGATTTTAATATTCAAGAAACTTCTTATGAGCTTTGAAGCCTCTTTTTATGGGTGTACCTCGTAGTAAATAAAGTCTAATAGACCTAATAGAATATAATTAGCATATAAAGTCAAAGGAAAGTTATATTTACAAAGAAATCTCGAAAACACATAACACAAACAATGCAATTTCATAACTGCTTACGTAAAGGTGAAATTAGAAGCTTAAAGTAATTTAGCCAGCAATATCTCAACTGTCTCGTGCCGTTATGTGGAGGAAGTGAAATTTATGATTTACTCACGAACTTGGCGACGAAACCACGCGGTTTGCAAGTTCAAGAGAAACTAAACTGGACCAAAATGTTTTAACACTTTTCTTTTTCTGAAAGCTGTGAGTGGAGGACGTGTCGGTGAAACCAAGTGTTTTCGATTATATTGATGATTACAACAAAGTGTTTGTTGATTTCAAAAGCACTTGCAACGACGTCCCAGATCGGTTAGTTTCGGTTCAGTTTTGTTAAGCATGAATAGAGAGATAAACACTGTTTGTTTATAAGGAGGTTAATCTATTGGTAGATAGCTTGGTTGACAGTTTGAACGCCTTTAACCTTAAGTTTTCTTTATATTTATTCTAAAGAAAAAAACAAACGAATCCCTCATCAATCATTTAGGTTTTCCTAAGTGACTACACGCAATCACTTTAAGTCACTATATGACGAGAATGGCACTATGATCACTATGATCTTGATTTTTGGTTCTCGGTGAGCATGAAGTTGAGCAAATGCTTAATATTGTCGACTGCTCAAACAGGGGTAGACGCAGCTAGGCGTATTCAAACCACACCAGTGAATGATGAATGTGAGAGATAGGATTTTATACAGTGCAGCTTTGTTTAAATATGACTTGAATATTTTACTGAATCTTAATGCGAAGCACATCAAGGTCAGCTGGGTACGGTTTGTACCTACATTAAGTGCGCCAGTCAGATGTTATCGTCCGGATACGATGAATGAGATTATGCGATTTGATGTATTTATTTTTACCGCTCCGCCCATATTGAAGTTCCTTTGGCCGTACCGCGATCAAGACCTCTAATTTTCATGCTACTGCTTCAAATATAGATTAAAGAGTAGACCCACTCTTTAATCTATGGTTCGACTTTTAAGCCGCACCTTCACCGTCCAAATGGCAAATGTAGCTTGTCCTTCACTTTGTCCAAGTTCGAACGGATATTTTAGTTTTAATACATGTTTACTAGGATTTTCCCAAATATCTTCTGGATTCTCCAACAGTTAGTTAGTGTATCTCCCTATACATCCATGAACCCTAGTGTATACCATACATCAATTATCTATATAAGTATATCGTAAATAAATTCACTAAAGCGCCAAGAAATTTTAAAATCCATAAACTTTTCACACCTAAAACATGTATCAGTTGAACTTTTTTTTTTTTTTGATAGGTAGGTGGAATGCGTTACGCACTTCCCGATACGTTGAGCGCACCTCCTGGAGCGCCCGACGTGCCGGGGGAGTGTGGGACTCCTACGGGTGTCACCGTAGTTTAGAAACGGACGATATTCTCCTCTTGAAACCAAATACTTACTACGGAAGCTCTTAAATCTTCCCCAATCCTTTTGAGAACGGTAGGTCCGCAACTGAGAGAAGATGATTCAGGATGATTGGCTTAAAAACGTTAGCTAGATTCTCTAGATCAGTTTCTTCTTGAAGGAACTGTCGCAAACGGGCTTTCAATCCTCACGAAAATCCGCGACTTTGGTCCGCTCGTAATAACATTTTTTTTTTTTTTATACAGACGGACTATTTTCTTCACTCCACTATTTACGTCACAGTCTCCACCCTCCACCCTCGACCATGTGTCGCACCGGAAGTGTGGTGGTGACATTACACAACCGCCGCGGCCACAATGGTGACCGTCACTTGCGTCACCGAGCCAGAGTTACCGCATTGGCCAGTGGTCGGGTCCAGATCAGTAAAAGTTACGAAGGCGCCACACTCGCCACTGGTATCTGTATCACGTATCAATCATCAACTCTCGACTCTCGCCCGCGCGACGCGTAACTGTGCATACGATACTGTGACACCGACCAACAGGAACACGGGCTACTGGTCTATAGGAAGGTGGGTCCAATGGTCTACATGTACGTGGGCTACTGGTCTATAGGAAGGTGGGCCCAATGGTCTACAGGAACACGGGCTACTGGTCTATAGGAAGCTGGGTCCAATGGTCTACATGTACGTGGGCTACTGGTCTATAGGGAGGTGGGTCCAATGGTCTACATGTACGTGGGCTACTGGTCTATAGGGAGGTGGGTCCAATGGTCTACATGTACGTGGGCTACTGGGATAGTAAAGTGGGTCCTCCGGTCTTTAGGAACGTTGGCCACTGATCTAAAGAAACGTAGGTCCTCTGGTTTATAGGAACCTGAGAACAAATGTCTACGATAATAAATCGATAGATAGTCAATCGACAAGATAGTAGGGATTTTGGTATTTAGGAAGTAGGGCCCCCGGAATATACGGTAAAAACGAGAGGCCATTGGCCTATAGGGACAGTAGGGGTCTGGTGTAAAGGAACGTGGATGGTGATCTAAGAAAGTCAGTACTCTAGAAAAGTCTAATCCATAGGAACGTAGGATACCTATACAACAAGGATATCTATAGGAAAGTGGAACACTATTCCATGGGAATAGGAATAGGAATGATATAAACGGGGGGACACTGTTCTTTAGGACAGAAATGGTCTCTTGCCTAAAGTGAGCCAATTTTCTGTACGGTTTGGCAAGTAACAAATGTAAACAAAGTGCATAGAACAAAAAATACATTTATCGATACATTGGTTGCAGTGTTGCAAGTAACTCACATAAGCCATACCGGACCATTTAATATGTGTCCACTTATTTAGTAAACCACTATTATTTAGTAACCGCGTATTCATTGTCTAAACCAATTGAAAATCAGCTAACCGTCTAATACTAAACGTGGACACATTGAATAGGAAAATCACATTATTCTAAAAGCGATAGACGTAACACGTCCAGGTGGATTGTGTGAGGCACGTGCTCGTTTTCACGCTTGTCTCGCACCGTGACCGAGCTGTTACCGGAAGGAGGAAGCTACACGAATCGCGTGGAATCTCAATAGTCCGTGTGTTGTGTTCACGCCACGCCCCCCTCTGGACCAACAGATTCCAGATTCCGACAGTCTCTCGGACCTGTTGACGCTTCTTGTTGTCCATTCCTGACGAGACGCTGAGCGAAGTAATTAGGAGGTTGCACTAAGAAAAATCAGTGGCTTATTTTGTATGTTTTTCTACACCATTGGCATTTATTTAGTGTTTAAGGGGGTTCAAATCCTGGTCTTGCGACTAACGTCCACATTTTATTTGACAGAATTCATTAACTGATAGCCCAATGGCAATGATTCGCTTGGAATCGTACCAGTAGCATTCAGATTTTAATGCAAGCACTATTGTTGATCCTCTACACAGACAATACGTCTGATGGTTCAAAGCTGGACCAACATCCTTATAGTTAACGAAACCCGACACGGACAGCTTCAATAAACAGTCCCAGCTGATAATCAGTAGCAAAGATGTTCAGATCATCCAATCAGTTCTACCAACTGCACTCAGCTATAATTCTTTACAAAAAAGTATACTTAAACAAGTGCACAAAATACATAATGAGATATGAAACTCGTTTGGAAATAATACATCAAGCGATTTTGTGGGTATCGACAATACAGCAAACAATTCAATTGTGAGTTCTTACTTAAAATAAGACCATATTTCGTAAAAACTGAATACTCGATACTCTTGGTATGAAAAATCCGAATACTATTAACTCAATTGGATGCCAAATAAAACCTCCCAACTTAAAACTTGTAATCTCTCCAAAGGTCTCACTGATAAATGTGGTATCCAACTGATACGTCATCCAAGACATAGGAAGTAACACGCATGACAACGTTGAGATTGAGATACAAAAGCATACTCACGTGAGGTAGAGGATCATAAGTCACGTGACCAGACCTGTTGGTCTCCGCCGCCCAGAACCTGAGAGGCTGTCTGAAGAGGCCCTCTGTCCTCCGCAGCGACAGGTCCAGGTCCTGGCCGAAGGCTCGCAGTTGCAGGTTGTGTGTGTCGGCCTGAGGCCTTGCTGAGGCGGACCTCCTCACTCGTACCACTTCATAGTCAGGCACTGCAACATGAAACATCACAAGCGTTAGGTTTACTGGAATCCTGCGAAAATGTTTAATACGTGCTATTCTGCTCAAGTGTACAAAGAATCTTGGTTAGGAAGGGAGAAAATGGAATTCAGTTCAGAAGTTTTCTGACTGAACTATTCATTCATCATGCGTGATGGCTTAAATCAACTGTTGGTAGTTGATAAATCGAAAACATATGTTAAGCCATGAAACACCACAGGAAAAGCCCTAGTCAAAAGTGAAATACGCTAAGGGAAATCTTATACAATTGCATTCAACTTCTTAAATTGAGCAACGTCTTGTCTGCTACTAAGTTATTTGTGGAATTGCTTCAAGGTTTGCTGGGAGGTTTTTGTCAATCCAGCCATCGGAACACAGTTTAATGACTTTGATAGGAACATCAAAGTTGGTAATTTTCTGGTGGCATACTGATTTCTTTATAATAATGGTTAAAGTTATTTATAACTCTTTATAACTCCGACAGTTAAAGGCATTTAAATCACTATTATATGTATTACAAGTGAGTCACGGGCTAACAACATGTTTTGTTAAACCTACAATACGGCATTTATCAAAATCTCTCTCAATATTTAATTTGTGTCTGTAGAATTAAATATAATACCGGTTTGCACACGTTATAAGTGTGAAGGATCATCAATACATTAACAAGTAGCTTTAAAGTACGTGGGCAACAAAACTACCTACGTTTACTAAAACGACGTGTGTTACGGCAAAGTAGCTTTGGTTTGATGACGATCTTTTATAGCCTCTACTGTGAGTATGTTAACCTTCAATAATAACATTGTGGCCATGAGGAAATGTGGCATCACTTTCTACAGCGACGAGAGATGCCTCGGTGATCTCGGGAGATGCGCGGCCAGGCGCACAAGTTCCTGGTTTCTACAACTGGATTACCTTCCATTAGGATTTAGTCCAGTACACACTATTCCTACTTGAGTGCTTCAATACATTCTCCTAAATGTAACTATAGTAATAGAAGGAGAAAAACAACTCTTGACACCCGGCATGTGACCTTGTGTGAGTTAGTACTGAGTAATAACGGAAATCGCAATTACGTGAACTAGACTTGACTAGTCGGCCTACATCCGTAGGAAACTGACCAGTTGACCAGTTGGTTACGTGCAACTGGCAACTGACAAGTGGAGCAATAACAGTTCAGTTGCGATCACAGTACGTGATGTGAGCGGGTCCGAAGCTTGCATTCAATACGGACAAAACAGTCACGGTTACACAACCTCCTGCAGTCCGAAAATAATGTCAACCTACTCCTTGTAATCTCTATGTTAGATTATAGGAGTGTAATATAATAAGTATACTAAAATGTTTCTGTATATTTGCGTTTAAACTGTAAAGAATTACGTTACTGTAAATATGTACGAGAATATTATGGTTTTATAGTACATTTTTGCGAAGAATACTTATTATTATTTCAAGGTAAAATAGTTGGACTTATTAATTTTTAGGGGCAAGGAAACTATTAGGTAAAGATAACATGAGGAGTATCTACAACTCCCGAAATTTAGTGTAGTTAAAACAATAAGTACTAGGGAAAGTCCAACTATTTTACATTATTGACAATCGATTTTGACCAGACACGGTCATCAAACCCGATTGGAGACTGAGAGCACAGACTATAGTGCTGAGAGAATCTAAATTGTACAAATAGTATCGAGGCAGGAAGAAATTTAAAATCAAACTACTGAACTACTTTCACCATTCAAATATTCTCAAAATTGACACAATAGATCTCTTTATTTACAATCAAAGGTACAGCGTGATTTGATGATTAACACAACTAAATTTTGATAATAATCTGATAAATTTATTAATTGGAAATAAGTTTCTTCAGAGAAGCTTTAAGTGGGAAAATGAGCTGGTAATGCACTAGACTCCATCTAATACTTTTTACTCTATGGATTAAAACTACTAATTTTCTCCAGCAAGTATTGAAAACAGCTGTTTTCACTGCAAGCAAAAACTAATAACCACAGCACTATACCTCGTTAAATAATTTGAAAGTCACGCCATCATCACCGGCGAGTTCGGTGAACTATAAAAAATTACGTTACTAAATTATCTCTATGGTGTCAATTACATCAACTACTTTTCCTGTAATGTTTTTTGCAACGCAATACTTTTGACAGCTTCAAGCAGGCAAGTCACCTGTTAGTGTCATCTGATGAACTAAAGAGCTGACCGCTCATCAGCTGACGTCACTAGCGCTGAGCACAGCTGTTTTTTAGCAGACTCTAATGTGATGTAATGGATCTGGTTACTATCACTTGTTGTGCTGACTCTCACTTCAGTTTTTACTCTGACGAGAGTTCACTGTAGGACATGTTTACAGTTGGGATTGTAAATGTTTGTGTGAGAATACGTTTGCGGTTATTTGATTTCCTCGTTTAATCTCTTGCTCAATGTGATGTGGGCAGACCAATATATTATTGTTTAAAAATTAAGGCACAGAATTTCACGATAGGTACCAATAATCAGCTGAATACTAGAAGTTTACATAATACAACGTTAACATTGTTGTTAATTTGTAAAATGTGTCAATATTAAGTTAAATATCGCCTTTGACTCTTAATACAATAGTCAATGATATCACTTAACTACTTCAACTAAGGTACCTAAAGAATTGGTCTAAAAATGTATGTAACAAAATCTAATTTTGCTTTCAATAAAGTAAATACCAAATAGTACTAACCGTCTGCGTGGTTATCTACATGGAAAACGCTTCTAAGATCATCTTGGTTCATATGGTGGTGTATCTGTAACAAATAAAATGCATAGTTAGCTACATTATGTAAATAAATAAACTAATATTTACATGCACTGGCAAAACAAGATAGAACATGAGTAGCTTTTCAGTTTAAGTTAGAACTGTTGACATTGACTTTAAAAACAAGCGTAGACATCCCTTCTATACGGACCAGCCATAGTCAATATAGTCAATTTGCTTTTAAATTGTATCATAGCTGAACGAGCCATTAACCTAGTTAGGTAATGTATAAATTACCAAAATCTATTTTCTCTATTCTCTTTGTACAGCCTAAACTTATTTTAAGCTATGTTTTGAACAGAATAAATTACGTTTTAGTACTTTGATACAATAGGTGATATGAGGCTGGTCGTTGATGAACAGGAGTTAATACGAGCAATACAGGAATAAGTTCATTACAACTAAGTTCATGGCAACTAAGAGAACCCAGTAGTTTATTATTTGTTTGGTTTCATCAATGTGTGCACAGCCATGAGTATTTTGAAAGAAACTATTCAACTGCAGATCCTGTTACTATATCTAACTTTTCATTTCTTACACACTGTTGACATGTAGGTCAGAACCTACAACAACTGTTGACACATAACGAAAAATCATAACATATTAACCGTTAATGGGGTTCCCTATTCAAACCTCCAAAAAACATTCCTTACCTCCTTGGTACTAAATCAGCTCTAATATATTTGGTACTAATATTAGGCATTAATTTAAAAATCTAAAAACATTCAACTCAGAAATCTAACCTAAACATACCGCATCCGCACACTGTGTCGAACACGACAATCTCATTTGTTTTCGATTTTCTATTCTCCTTTTTGAAAGCGGTTTTAATGGTCCCAAGACTTCTCAATCGCACGACGGCCTTTGAGGAACCCTGTTTGATAAGGGATGCGTGGAGGGGGATATTGGGTTTTCTGCAATAGTGTTTGGTCACAAGACGAACGTTTTCGAACCTTCTCCAGACAGTGAACATAATCACCTCCAGACATATGTTATGTCTGATACAGTGTGCGGCCTAATCTCAACCAACTAGCGAAACAAGTTAGCCGATTTCCAATTTCGTTAACACGCTACAACTTGCTTAGCGACTTTAAGTCCTAATTTCCATACTGTATTTAATTTGTCCTACAACTTACATAATCTATTAAATCAGTGGTCCTGCTCCAGGTTTACCGGATACCCGATTGATCACCATGCGGGACGACATAGCTGACCCACATACTGACCACCCCAGTAACGGCGGTGGACATTTGGCCCGGGCTCGCGGAAGATATCGCCCAGATTACCGCCATAAATCTCAGTTGCATAAGGTCCAATTTGGTAGAAAGCTCGCTTCCTTGACAGCATACAAATAGGAAGCGGCATTGCCGATTTACCAATTATAGATCTGTTGGTATTTATGTGTGACTGATTAAGATTGGCGATTATCGGATTGAAGATTGTGTTAAACCGGTTTTAAGATTCGTGCGATCAGTTTGTCCCACAGGGCAGTATTTGTATCATGGTAGACCAGATTGATTCGTTTGTGCAAAAGGTTTGCGGAAGTAGAGAGTATTACGTCATTCCAAGAGAAACCTTGAGCGTTTATGCATTTCTTCATTAGAATACAAGGGGTCAAATGTTATAAGGAAGTGAGGATATTTATGGTCAACAATTAAAATGAAATTCTTGATCCTGCTCAATTAACAATATACGTTTGCATGTTGCTCTATATTTAAATATATTGTCACAAAAAACTGTGACACATGTGGATATGTTAATTTAGAGTAAACAACACGCTATTAAGGTTTGATAAATGGAAAAGCGAGTTGTACACTCTTGCTAAACCGGTTACGCGTTGTATCTCCGGGGAATTGTAATGTTTCCTGGCTCAGAGGAACTGGCAAGAATTTCCTTCCCTCCACCTTAATTAATTGTCAATCGAATGAAACAACTAATCGTGTTATTGCGGAATGTGGGATTCGTGACAGAAATAGCAATAACACGCACTGGATAGTTGAGCAAATTGAGCCTATAAGTAATAAAAATATGAGAACAAACAATCATTCATAATATCCCTATAATTCATTTTCTGTTTCAGCCGTCGTGAATATGTTTTATTGTTTGAAGAATCCCTTAATTTACTCCGTAGGGAGTAATCTTATTTAGATTACAACGAGCTATACTAATCGTTGGATAGTGCAGATGATTGACTTGCATTGTTGTCCACAAAGCTATAAATTCTGGAAAGCCAACTCTGTGACAAACTCTCCCTTAGGCAGTAGAATGTCTCTTAAAGGAGCATGAGTAAGACTGACCTCTTTTTCTGCGGGTTCATCTCGAGATTGAGAGAAGAGTATTCTTTCACATTTTGGCCTGGCATTTTATATCACAAGATTCTACATCATGATTCTCTTATTTCATTAGTTCTGAAATGCCGCTGCAAATTAAGCAAATTGATCTTGAACGATCTTGAGCCATGATAAAGTCGTCATAGGCGAATCACCAACGAAAGTGTTGCCACTAATCACTAATTGGGCAATGATTTGAAGATGTGTGATTCAATCTTGTGAATGAGCAGGCACTTTGTGATCACCACTTGCGGTCAGCTTTGGTCAACGCACTGCGAAGGTCAAATCCAAGTGATCATGACTTTCAGCCAGTGCTTCGTGTGGCCGCACAGGTAATCATACTACACTCTCTAGAGTAACCTTTAACAATTTTAGTTCGTTATTTGTGAGTGTCTGCACCAGTAGTATTTTGTATGAAATTTGAAATTTTTGGGAAAATAATAAAATCTTCTGTTTAGAGGATCAAACCAATCAAACCAATAACTCATCATCATTCACTGAATCGGAAAATTTATTTTAACTGGCGAACTGACCATTAGAAACAAGGAATGATTTCAAAAGGGAAATTCGGAATTTCGTCATCTTATCTGAGCGATTCGTAGTGAGATAATAAATATATGTTTGCCATTTGTTGCTATTTACCTTTGACAATATTTCTTACATCCAATGTTATTACCCGTCATCCAGATCAGCCAATTTATCCTATTCACTAGGAAGACAAGGGTGCGGAAGAAAGCGGGCGTGGCGAGGCAAACCACTAACCAAGGCTCCAGCCCGCGATATTGTATACACGATTCTTGGTTTTAGCTGTATACTCGTACTCGTACATGCTAAACCAATAAATCTCGATTCTAATATTCCTTGATAAGTGGTTGAGTTACGTCAATCTTCCTTGTAGGGAAAGCTTGCGGTAGTGAGGTTTGCGGCAGGGGCTTATATGGGACCTGTATTGGGAGTGGCGCATATGGAGCAGGGTAAACTGAACTGAAAGGATTTCTTAGATTTTGCAAGCAAATGTTTCGATGTTTCAATCATAAAATGTGAGTCTCTGCTGAAAATCAACACAAATATAAAGCCAGTGTAATTGACACAAAAGAGCGATTAAAGAAATAAAAATGTGTGTTGAAATATGTGTTTTGATTAAAGTTTTCTAATTTTATTTGAGGAAGGGAATTACATTTCAAAATATAGTTTAGAATCGGGATCAAATGGCCAAAGAAATTGGATTAAAACGAAATTTTTCAAAAGAAAAAGTACATATTTGTAAAATATTATATCTTATCATTATTGAACAATTTCTTCGTTATAACTTCTAGAGAGTAAATATATGAATAAAACAGAATACATAAATCCCTGTTGGGATTAAAATAACCCGTTAAAATAACTTATTAATAAACGAAAACGAACGCAAGACACGTGAATAAGTAAACACGAGGAGCTATTAACACGAGTTGCACTTGTGTTGACAAAGCTCAGCGGAGGAGTGTTGTCTGGGTCAGCTGACTGAGTAAGTAGGTCAGCTGTGAACGTAAGTTACAACCTACAACTAGCAACAGCTGTTGATCAACAATTGACACCAGTTGGACAAGATGTTAGTAGCCACTCCTCGGTAGCTGCGAGGTAAGCCTTACACGATTGAATTTTGTGCCAGGGTGAAAATGGTGTCAATGCAATTCTCGTTTCGTATGGTGTTTTGAATTGGGTTCAAAAATACAGACATAAGTGGATTAACGTAGTAACCCTAAGAGAAGGATTAGTATGTTGGGAGTTTGAAGTTTAAGGAGGTACCGCGGGCAGTATTGATGTAATGGTACCGTGGTGGGTCTAAGGAGGTACTGCTGGCAGTATGTTGATGGAGTCATACTGTAGTTAGTCCAAGGAGGTACTGCTGAAAGTACAATGGTGGAGTGGTACTTAACTGGGGTTTAGGGGGTACTGCTGGAAGTACTGTATATTGATTGAGTAGCACTGTAGTGAGTCTAAGGAGGTACTGCTGGAATGTATAGATGGATTGGTAACGTAGTAGTGATATAGTGTAGTGATATACAATAGTGGTAGATGGTCTACGTACAAGTATTTAAGTATTGCTTGCTAGTGTAGTATACTGGGGCCAAAAATGAAGTCGTTCTGCTGTGTAACCCGTGGTGTAACATTCACTTGAAATACGTTGAGGCTGTTTTAGTTTATTAATGGTTGTATTGCGTGTCGTGTGAGTCTAAAGTAGTATTGGCTGTTGGCTGGTGTAGATGTATAGTCTAGTGTGAGTCTAAAGTAGTATTGGATCTTGGCTGGTGTAGATGTATAGTCTAGTGTGAGTCTAAAGTAGTATTGGCTCTTGGCTGGTGTAGATGTATAGTCTAGTGTGAGTCTAAAGTAGTATTGGATCTTGGCTGGTGTAGATGTATAGTCTAGTGTGAGTCTAAAGTAGTATTGGCTCTTGGCTGGTGTAGATGTATAGTCTGCGGGTCTAAGGAGGTCGCGGCAAGGTCGCCGAGGGCGGACTCGATTATCCAACAGTGAAAGTGCGAGGAAGGGATCGTTTGACATGCAGTTACATAAGTAAGTGTAACTTTCCTATTCTAACACTCTTCGGCAGTGTCAAGGCTGTGCTTTCTCGGGCATATCGCACGGACACGAGACTCGACTGGAGATGTTACGT